AAAACGCAGATGAGACACGAGTATCGTCGATCTCGTTTTGTCGTCGTTGTCGACGAGAGAGAATGGGTTTGTCAGCAACTGTTTTTCGAAGTTGCGGAACGCATGCTTTTAAGCCATCTCATGGTGAAGGAAATAGTTGTGAGGGTAGCTGAAAGCTATGTGTTTGTTAACAAAATGCACTACGCATAAAAGCTAGTGTAAAGATCTTTCGAGTGTTTTGAGTTTGAGAGAATGAAAGTTATGAGAGAGATTAGAAAGCTATGAAAACTAATCAAGAGAGAGATCATCATCAGGGATCGTAGATCTGGCTCCCGCGGGAGACTATAAAGTGTGATAGAGTAGGTTGTGGTATAATCCACGTCTCTCCACGATCCTAAAACGGAACGCGTGGAAGGTTTGTCTAGCCTGGATCTAGTAGCTGGAAGTACTCCACGCTGCTAATATCTAGAGCGAATGTTTCATCATCGACCTAGTATACTAGCGCGGTCATTGAGAACACCCTGTCTCAAATGACTATTCGCGAGAGACTCAGTCATGAGTCGAACTCAAACCCTATCTAGGATCGAGTCGCGAATAAGGCTAAGAGCCGTGTATTGCAACAGGCAATGGGAGCCACTAGTGACTCGGCAACGGTGACGGTTGTGGTTGGGTGATGTTGTGGCTGTTCAATGACGTCGGATCAAGGTTTGCATGGGCTGCATCGGATCTGTGGCGCCATTTGGTTGGCTTCAAACTCAAAATGTGAGCTAAAAAAATCTTTATTTAGAAAACTCCAATTGATTACTTAAGGTTGTCAGCGTCAGCTGGGTTCCAACACTAACACATCTCCGCTGGTGGAGTCTCGCTGTCACTTAGATCTCGCCTGGCCGGTCTCGCGCGTTCCGAGCCTTCGGCTCTCCTTTTCGCTCTCGCCCGGCCAGTCTCGCTCTAAGTGTCATCTCGCCTCTTCACCAGAGGAGACGTGTTCCTGTATAAAACTAGCGTGAAACTAACGGCTAGTTCGTGAAACTAGCAGTTTCACGTGCAGTTTCGCGCAGCTCTGGTTGAAACTAGCACTAGTTTCACGCAGAAAAACGGCTAGTTTCACGCAAGATTTACTAGTGACTACAACGGATATCGATAGATTGACAGTTTCACGCGCGTCTGAACATAGTTTCACGCAAACTTGGGTGAATCTAGTACAAGTTTTACTTGCGTGAAACTAACGGCTAGTTTCACGCCGGCTGCGTGATTTACCAGGTAAGCCTCATTTCCGAACCCTGCTGAAATCCTGCCACCCTCCGCGATCAAGCTCAATGTGACCGTGTTGCAAGCTTCCCTTCGTTGATGGTACCGCGGTACATGTACCTGGTGGTACATGTCGACAACAAGAAGGGGATGATACACGCATATATGATTGACAAGACGACAAAGCAACCTTTGAATCCCTTGGTGGATAAAAGAGGAGAGAGAAACTCAGCAAAACCGGTCGGAACAGTGTTTTCCCCATGTCCACTACCTTTCGTGTTGTGTGCGCCGTCATTGGGCTGTGTGTCCTGCTACAACTTCTTGTGATGACAAGAATTGAAGAAACTGTTTCCATTTTGGAGAGGTCCATGTTGGAGAGGTCCAATGAAGAGTTGTCATCATTGGTTGCTATTCCCTCAACTCCTGTTACCTTTGATCAGAGCAAACCACTCTTTGTTCTGAGTCTCCCCAATCATCATAGTTTGGCCATCCCACGGTATTTCGAATGCGCAGGATACAATGACACGACCATGGGCCGTTATTGGATGCCCGTACCGAAAAATCCTAGACGGAAACGTATGACTACTGGGCAGTGTTTGCGAGCCAAGATTGAAAGCAAAGGAAAGTCGGATTGTGGGGACTACCATGTCTGGATGAATACCCAATACCTACGAGGACCCCGGCTCAACCCAAAAATTTTCCGACGCCATGATTGTTTTGATCTTGTCATGTTTGACTCAGCTCTAGAAGAACTGGCAAGCAATGCCTATTCAAGAGGAGGCACAATTTTGAACTTTGTTCGAGATCCCAAAGAGTGGGCAGAGTCACTTTCTCCACAACTTCCACAATACTGGCATGAATGGTGCAATGACAGTCACAACCACACATTTCCAGGAATGGGAGAGTACGACAATCAACAACATCTACATCACTTTTATCTGAAATATCAGCATCGACTACTGAAGTTTGCGGCAATGAACCCTGATTGGAACTATGTGGAAATTGATCTGAGACGTTCCCGTGATGAAGTTGGATTCCAGTTGCAACAACAGCTGGGGTTTGACAAGAAATGTTGGCTTGAATCCACAAGTGGCTCTATTGTTGGTGATGATCCCATGGTACTGGCAAACCAACCACGCCCCAATGACATTACATTTCCAGCGCTTGTGACGGCAATGCCCAAGTCAGGTACTACAACGATGCATGAATATTTTGTATGTGGAATGGGCGACTGGACCAGTTCCCATCAATTTACATGGACAACGCACGAAGCCAAGCGACCAGTTACACAACTATCCATTGGAGAGTGCATGCTGGACAATATCAACGACAATACCTATCCTTTACTCAAAGGCTGTGGGAATTCGTTGGTGTTTAGTGATACAGGAGCATTGCGTCTTGAAAACAAGACGAGGAATCAGGATTCAATCTGCTATTACCCCATGGTGCACTTGCACAGTTTGGAACGGTTCTATCGGAGCTATCCCGAGGGAACCATCATTCACATTGTGCGCAATGCCACCTCGTGGATATCCTCCGTTAGGAGATTTCACAGGTTGGATAAAAGGTGGGTCAAGGGCTACAACTGCAGAGGTGGTGGATTTCCCGAAGATGTGAAAACAAGCGATGAAGAATGGGGGGAATTCTATGATGGTGTTACTGAGATAGTCCGTTCTTTTGCAAAGAGTCATCCCTCATTGACATATATGGAAATCCCATTGAGTGAACAAGCTGAACCCATGCTCTATGATGCCTTTCGATTCCCAAGGAACTGTTGGGGGAAGTCTAATGTGAACACGGGAGAAGCAAGGAGGAGGAAAAAGCGTCCACCAACCTCATCAACCACAGCACAGAATGCTACAGTTGCTGAGAACATTCTGCCTCGGAATGAGTGATGGCTCCAGTACTCAGAGATTGTTTTTGAAGACTGATGAGAGACTCGAAACGGCTGTACTATGTTTCCAAGGCTACAGTACGTGGTCGCAATCAAAATGGTGAGCAGTGTGGCGGAATGATACAATCGCAAACTCGAGTGTGGTCATCCAAGCAAGAAGACCGTTGCATCTTGCCGGCGAACCAGAAGGAGCAACCAAATTAGCTAGAGAGGGTCTGCTCATGCTATAGACATGCGTGGTTTAGCATCTATCTATCGCTTTTGCAACTATTCCCTTTTGTGTCTTCATGGCGCGCTACTGGTACCTGGTACGGTAGCTGCGTTCTAAAACAAAACATGCTTCGGAATTATCCCAGCGAAAAAGGAAAATCCTGGCGGCTGCAGCACGCAGAGCAACGCTGATTCGATGATTGAATGTGATGACTTTGCAGCCATATCACCAAAGCTGGCGTGTAGAAAACATAGGTGGACACTTCCGAAACAGGAGCTTCCGTCAATCGAGAAGCAACAAATCGAATCCTTTTGCTTTTGATATTATATTTCCTCGAAGTCTTCTCTTTTTCGTGGACGCACGCCTGCGATCGTTGGATGATTTCCTTCGTTTCTTGTCTATCACATCCCCCTCAATCAATTGTTGTAAAAGTCGTCATTGAAACTATTGGCAATTTCTTGCGATTGGGACCACGCCGTGGAGAAGATGATGATAAAAATGACCAGTGGCAGGATGAAGCAACAGCAACACAACACAATGGCTGTGCAAACCACGGATCCTCCAATGATATACCAGGCTTGAGTGTTGTCGCGTTGGACAGGCGGTGTCGGTGTTGGCGACGGAGTGACAGCCGTGGAGCTTGTCGTCGCGCTGTACGGTTGTGCTGTCACTGTCGCTGGAGTTGTCGGATAGGCTGGTTCTTGTTGTTGATGATACGCTGGATTCGCAGAGGGCGGAGGAACACCGTAGGCCGTCGCGGTGACAGTCGGGACATGGCCGCTCGGCGTGGAGTAAGTGACTGGTTGTACAGGAATCACAGGAATATCTTCCTCTTTTTGCTGGAGTGTCATGGTGGTGTGATCGCGGTGGTAGCGAGGTGAAGGAGCCCTTGTCTACAATCTACAAGCGAGAAAATATAATGGCAGTGGATTGTTGGTGTCTTCTCTATTTTAAGGGCGCGCCTCCCTCCCTGTACCGTAATCAGGTCATGCAATGTCGTGTGGATTTGGGGGATTTTAAGAAGAGAATTTTGAATTCTCACAAAACGAGGGAAAAACGGAAAAATGATCTCCCAAAGGAAAACACGACGACCTCGACATAGTCTAGTGAAACGAAGCTTCCTCAATCCGCAAACAACAGGAGCTATACTATACGAGAGAAGCAGAGAGAGGACTTTGTAGCGTTCGAAGAAGGATGGTTCGATATGCGGCTTGGCTATCAGCAGCGGCAACTATCATATCGTTGTACTGTTGCCTCCAATTGAAGAAGAGTCAGCCGCCAAAGCCAACACCATACCCAATCTCCTTCCGCATCCAGTTCGACACCAATGTGACCCGCGAGGAGCAGCAGCAGACACAACGCCAAGAGAATCGCACTCTTCGTTCCAGTCTCTACTACGATTGGACCATTCCAGCCCAGCGGATCGATCATCCATCCGGTGCCTACGAATGTGTTCGATTCTATAATGTTCACTCGCATGGATGCAGTCTCCATTTCCGGTCAGATGGAATGTATCGAGTCATTCAGCAAGACATCCATATTGAGGAGAAGGATTCCTTCCAAACTTGCTGCTTGGATCTTCCAGGAGTGGGACCCCCTCCTCCGGATTGGGCACAACGAGCAAATCCAACCTTTACCGGTCTCAAACATGATGCATATTCGGGATACGATAGCTACGAATTTGTGTTTGACCACCTCCTCAATATCTATGAGGTACCGTTTATTGGGAATCATGAACATGGCCAACAGCTTGACGACGACAATGACATTTACGATCGATTTCACACCGCAAGAGAAGTTCATGATGATGGCATACTTGCATCTGCGAATAATAATGGATTGCCTTTGGTGTTTACTTTTCCCAGCAAAGCCAAGGGACTGCAAGATTATCATTTTGACCCCACCAGTCTGGTGATTGGCCCGCAAGACCGAGCACTCTTTCAGTTACCCAAGGGTTGTGAAAACGTTCGTTGCGACAAGAGTTTGGACGAGGTCATCACCGAGACGTAGTATCTCGACTCGACTCTACTCTTTGCTGATCTCATTGACGGTGTTACTTACTGTACCGTACTACCAATCGGTTGGCAGCTGAGTGCTGTGTGCAGCACAGCCCTTCTTGTTAGCAACAAGCTACCGGTTCCACTATGCAAGCAACAAAAGTTTCAGTACCGTACAGCTATGGTTGCATGTAGGCCAATCTGCCAGACAAGAGTATGGTTTCCTGTATTGGTGTGGCTGTACGGCGGGGCGTTGGAAACGGTTTGCTTTCCCCATCACCTTTCAGGGACCAAGGTTGGAAAAGAAATCTAGAGGCATCAGGCTCAAAAGCCAAGGTTTGACGGTCAAAAGAGATCATGAAAGCAACTGGATTCGTCTAGAGGGCGAACACCTCAGGGAATCACAGTCTCATTTAAAAAAGTTAAACCGCTATAGACAGTGGGTAGCATTTCTCCGGACTGAGCTTCGGGGAGAGTGTGAGTATCATGTAGCCTCCCCCCTTTGTCCCCTGGCTTCGTTCATGGATGTTCTGTTTATCTTCAGTTCCAAAACTTTACATGTGTCAAACCCTTTCAAGCTTTTCAGGCACACGGCATGCAACGTTTGAGCTGGCTTATTGGGTGGTACGTCAGTGGTTTCATGGCCGCTCATCCATCATCCCGAACCCCTTGGATGCATGCATGGTTGACGCCGAAGATATTGGCATCATCGGCAGTTTCCCCACGGCTCCATGGCAGTGTATGATATGGTAGACAGCTGTAGATAAGGCCATCACCGAAAGCAGCACTTGGCAATTGCGAAGACAAAGCGAGATACTGAGAATCTTATTATCAGGACGAAAGCACTCAACTCGGACCAGGAAGAGAAAATCCAACCAGAATTCAGACTGGTTGCTTCACAAAGTCAATAGCTCGACAACTTTAGATTCAACGGCAAAATGAGAAAGGCTTTGCTATCCTTTTTGGCAGTGTCTGCCACCTGCAGCAATGCATTCACAAGTCTACCACAGAACCGGGCGTTCACGGCAACGGTATGTTTTCACCATCGGATGCAAATTTCGTGCTGCCTACAGATGTGATGTTGTTGGAAGAGATTCTTTGAGTGGGTTGTGCAGAACATGGACAGTCTTACAAACCGCTGTTGGCTCTCTTTTCTTTCTTACTTTTTGGACTTACCCCGCCCTTTTCCTTCTATTCGCTCCCAGTCCTCCAAGTCATCACTGTCCATGGCTGATCTTCCCGTCCGAAAGCTTGGAATCTTTGGTGGTGGCACCGTTGGTGGAGGTATTGTAGAGATTATCCAAAAGAAGCAAGATTATTTCAAGGAATTGACGGGACATGGCATTGAGGTTGCCAAAATATGTGTCAGGGACGCCAGCAAAAAGCGTGACTTTGATGTCCCCAGCGGCTGCATAGTGACGGAAAATTACGACGACATTTTGGATGATGACTCGATCGATATGGTGGTTGAAGTCATGGGTGGTACCACTGACGCAAAGGATGTTGTGTTCAAAGCCCTTAGCAAGGGAAAGGACGTCGTGACGGCCAATAAGGCATTGATTGCCAAGGACTTGCCCGAAATTGAGGAAAAACTAGAGCAATGCCCCGGTGCCGAATTCCGATATGAAGCTGCCGTCTGTGGAGGAATTCCCATTATTCGATCCATGCAAAGTGATTTCCCCGGTGATGACATTGACATGCTTAGTGGAATCATCAATGGATGCACAAACTTCATGTTGACCTCCATGGACAAGGGTGGAAAATCATATGACGAGGCCTTGGCAGAGGCTTCTGCATTGGGTTATGCAGAAGCTGACCCAACCTTGGATGTTGGTGGATTCGACGCTCGGTCCAAGCTACGAATTTTGATGAGATTGGCTTTTGGTATTGATGTCGACGAGGAGGACATCGCCTGCCGTGGAATCACTGAGCTGAGCAAACTTGATTTTGATTATGCCAAGATGATGGGAGGAACCATCAAACTCGTTGGTGTTGCCAAAAAAGTGGATGAGGAGAGTGTAGCTGCATTTGTATCTCCCTGCTACGTCACATCAGACGATTCCCTTTCTTCCGTCAATGGAGCTACCAATGCCGTCGAAGTTATTTCCTCCAACTTGCAATCCTCAACCTACATTGGACAAGGTGCCGGCCGATACCCCACCGCCAACAGTTGCATCAATGATATCGTTGCACTGGCCAAGGGCGACAAAGCTCCTATGCCCTTCAACCCGTTTGGCAAGGGCAAGAAATTTGTCAACAGCTACGATTCAGTCTTCTACATTCGCCTGTCCTACACTGATGCATTGGGTATCACCCGTCAGTGTGGAGAAATTTGTGAAAAGCATGGAGTATCCATCCATTCTATTTTGCAAAACCCAGTCACCAGCAAAACTGATGCTGCATTTGTACTCGTTACGGAAAAGGTCCCCCTGGACAGCGTCAAAAAGGCAGCCAGTGATTTCGAGGAACTGGATTGGTGCAATGGGCCAGTCTTTTACATGCCTGTTCTCCGCGAAGATTGGGTAGAAGCAATGTCTGTGTAAGCAGATGCTTTCCCGTCGCACAACGATGCTGGATGCAAAGAGCCCTAAAAACCTGTTTGGCCCCGACCTGCAATTTGTAAGGACGAACTCTATAGCTTGCTAGCCAGGAGGTTGTTTTGCCCAGCTCGTTGGACTTCTGGCTGCCAAGTCTCACGTACGTGTAGTGTCATAGCGGGCTGGGGAGGATGTAGAGCACCGACCTAACTAGTAGAAAAGAATATCCCTATCGGTACAGCCCAGCGAGAGCGATTCTCATGTTAGCTACTCAAGATTGCCCTGAAAAAACTGAACGTCTGTTAACGGATTCAGACAGGATGAGCTTGAGGACCCTGAGTAGGGTAGTTTCTTTGAAGCTACTAGTACTCCCAATCGATTCGTCCGTTCGGTGGAGTCTGTTGCTCTGCTATCAAATGACGGATGTAAGGTAGATCCACAATCTCACTGAAAGAGTAGCCTATGCCTCCAGCCGACACAGAAATGGCTAGCTAGCTAGACGATACTTGCATGCAAATCAGTATCTATTTTGTTTAGTTTGTTGTCCAGTCCAATCGCAAGTTGTCGGTTGGTCAGATATTGCTGTTCATTGTACAAAGCGTTCTTCTCGTGGGGGGTGTATACATGGTGGGATGCCGTTGGCGCGTGGGTCTCAAGCTTCCGCCAACCCGCAGTAGTCTACTTATAGCTTCAACCACACTCCCGAAGTGCACTTGAAACCGGAGCCAAAGGCTACTTGCATGACACGGTCTCCCTTCTTCATTGGGTTGCTCTTTTGCTGATCCTGGATGTACTCGAGTTCATACCAGATGGAGGAAGAACTTGTGTTACCATAGTTCAACAGAGCCATTCTCGATCCCTCACTGTGGTAGTTCTCCAACTTCATGTTCTTTTCGATTCCATCAATGACAGCGCGACCTCCAGCATGAACACAGAAGTGATCAATACCACGCTTGAAGTCTGGCACATAGGGCTTGACACGGGGAAGTTTCATTGCCCAGCTTTCGGCACCGTTCGCAGTGAGGGTCTTGGACAATGCCTTGATAATGTATCGAGAAGCAATCGAGACGACTACCTTGGCTTGCTCGGTGATGGGCAACACTAGTGGTCCCAAGGTTGTCATGTTCTTTTCCATGGTCTTTCCGGCAACCTTGACAATGTCCTTGGATAGCCTGACACCCCTCTCGCCATTTGCGTCTTCGGTTTCATACACACAGTTGTAGGCATCCTGTCCGGCACCCTGCACTCGGACCGTGTGGAGGAGTTTGTACCATGCACGACGACCATCCCACCTGTTGTTCGACAAGACCATGGCGGCACCTCCACATCGGAAGAGAGTGTTTTGGATCAAGAAGCCGCGATCATTTCCGTGGTAAAAGTTGGGTGTCAAGATTTCGGTCGATACCACCAAGGCTTTGCCGTACTTGTGTCGGCCCAAGAGTTGCTTGGCCAAGTCAATGCTAATGAGAGAGGCACTGCATCCCATACCCGACAGATTGTAAGTGGCGACATCAGGGCGCATGTTGAAGTGAGACATCACCATGGCACACAGAGAGGGCGTGGGGGAGAAGAGGGAGCAGTTGATGACCAAGACATCAATTTCCTTGGGCTTGACGTTGGCTTTGCGAAGGGCTTGTTCGACGACATCGAAGATGACAGTTTCAGCTTCCTTACGACTGGCTTCCATGGAACTATCCGATTTGACTGGATCACCATTCTCATCGTCTTGCAAACTCTGAACAATACCTGGAGGCCATGCAGTTGCTTGACCAGTTCCAGAGCGCTCCAGAATGCGGCGAAGAAAGGCTAGACTTTCGTCGGTGAAGCATCTTTGACGACGCATGACTTCGACAACCTCATCATGTGTCAACTTCCACGAGTCGGGAGCCTTGAATGTGGCAAAGGAGAGCAGGTAGATGGGACTATCCATGCGGATCATCCATGCTCCCACGAAGAGTGCCAGAGCTGTGGTCTTGACAGCAGGAGAGAATAGTTGAAAGAAATGATGATTCTGGAAGAGACTGGCGTATAGTTTGATGAACAGTTCCTTGAGAGCAAGAGCCACAGCCGAGACGGTTTCCCAAGAGAGTTGTTGTGTGGTGGCACCAAGGTCCATGAGAACTTGGTGCAAAATCTGAGCAAGGAGAACAACTACCCCAAAGAACAAGAGATAAGGGGCTTGGGTACCAATCACATGGGTCCAGTCGATCATTCTGGGTAGTATCAAGAAGAACAAGTCGCCAAATTTGTTAGATTCTGACTCGACGTCAATACTCGAGAACGCTATCGACAACTAACTCTACTCACCCAATGAGGCTAGACTTTCGGACGCGATATTGACGGGAGTTGGCATCGCCAGCAACGCTGAAATCAGACTCGGATCCAGACCTCCTCATGGTCGATTGGTCTCCAACAGCAGCAGGTGTCGGAACATTTTCGTCGACAAGATGTTCGGTACTCTTGCGGGGCGCCATGGTTTCAAAAGAACAAGTCAAAAAGGCAGATGAAATTATGTGGTATACTGGTGAAGCTCCCTCCAATCTTGAATTAATGGACTTCTTTCGCTTTGCGCAAGTAAAAGGCTGTAGTATGACAACGTTTGTGGTATAAGATTACAACCAGAGTTTCTCTTGCCACATACGCAAGCTGCAGGATGGATGATGTTGGGTTGCAAAGAAGAAGCTGAAACGGGGCGAGGGCGATGATGATGATGAAGAAGATACGATTTTCGTCGTCGTCTTTGGGATTTTGTGATGACAGGCTCACGGATTGGAAAGAATCACTGTGGGAAAGAGTGTACTTGCCAGGTCCTGTGGGTGTCTGGCCAGCAGCTTTGTTGCCACGTTACAGGTTACACTGCAAAATTGTCAGTGGGGAAGAAGTTTGCTGTTTACACGGTGACGTTGAAGCCAGCATACTGCCTTTAACATTGACCAGGAACCCGGAAGGGCCATCGAGTAATCGTACACGTGTGTATGTCATTGTTCATTCACAGCAAGCCGTTCCAGCTTTGGGCCACGGTACTAGCCAGTACGGTACCACTGCATGGTACGGTACGGTATGGTCCGGTATGGTTCATTGTCCTTCGGTACCATAGGTTGTGACCGGTCAAGCCAGGATAGCGGTCTTGTCCGCCACAGCCAGGATAGCGGTCTTGTACATGTCCACCATGTCCACTCCCCACTGGCTACTAGAAGCAAGTTATGCGTTTCGCCAGGATACGGTAGCTGAGAAGACAACGCAAGGGGCGGCTTACAACATGTGTTTCATATCATGGTACCAAAGGCAGGATGGAGTTGCGGGGAATGAGCTTTGGAACAGTTTTTTTTGTGGTCAAAACCTGCAAGTTTGGGTTAATCTTCCACTTTGAGTCCTCAGTCTGCTCTGAATTCCAGAAAACTTCCAGATTCCTACTTTCTTACAGGTGACTGCTAATAAGGCAATGACTACAGTCGTATTAGTACGTGTTTTTACGGTTGTGTCGTTCTTCCACATTCTTCCACTTTCAGTCATTCTTCCGAAAGAAAACAATGAAAAACTAACTGAAAAACATGAAAAACAGGTATTCCCGCAACTCCATAATTCCCCCGTATTGGTACCATACCAGGTGGCAACATGTACCCGTAGGGCACCTTCATTCAGGTCTTGTGTTCGTTCCAATTCAAGGTTACCGTACGGTACAAGAATGGAATGGACACCAATTCTTTGGGGAAATGTACCGGTACCAGTGTACCCAAGGTTTGTGCTGATTCTACAATAGAACCGCGGGCGATATCTGCTGGCTGGCTAATATTTACCGTACCCTTTCGGCTCGGACAAGGCAACAGCCAGGGAAGTTGGGAGAAGAATATATTTCCATACTTGCTTGAGGGCATGAAACGCTAGCTACGGTAGCTACTAAGTAGCACAGGATGGAGGGCAGTCAACGGTGCCTCATCACTAAGGCTCTGGCTGGGAGCTCGTGGCGAAAGGTTCGATTGACCCGGCCCAAATTGCTCAGTGAGATGTCGCTGCTCGCACGACCAGACAGCCTCAAGCAAAGGCAAGACAGTGGAAGACTCAATTGCGCAGATGATGTATCATTTGATTGAGTGCTTAGATCCAATAAAAGCGGCTAATAAACAGCAATGAAGAGCGGACTTTGCTTGCACGAGAGGTCATGTCTTGGCTGCTTACGGTACACCGGTACCGCTGTGGATTTTGCACCGTACAGACTTTTAAGAAAAATATGCCGACCACCGGGACCGTTGACTTCCTGGCGCGGCCAAAGCTCAACAGTTTAGCATGCTTATGTCTTTCAAATGAGACTGGCCAGTCGACTTTGCGTAAAGTAGATCTACTAGCTAGGGTTCAGGCAAGACCATGACAGTCTGAATGCCACTGCCGTTCACGTGAGAGAAACCAAAATCAGGGACTTCTAAAGGCTCTGAACCTCGCATCAACCAAGCTCTTGCCCTTGAGAGGGCCATGCCTGATGGCTGGGTTGGAGGAATGCAAGAACTGGATTCCTGATGTGATGCCTCACTGAACCTGCAAGAGGATTTCCCGGTCTGGCAGTTCATAGTGGGGAGATTCAAGCCGGTTGATGCGAGATATGTTGTGGCTCGCGTGAAACAGATATGCGGATATGATTGTTGGGACTTACTCCACCCAAACTCATTGCAGTGTTACTGATACAAGTCATAGAGACTGCCGTAGTCCATGAACCTGGAAGGGATGAGCGTATGTTGTGGCTCGCGTGAAGCAGATATGCGGATATGATTGTTGGGACTTACTCCACCCAAACTCATTGCAGTGTTACTGATGCAGGTCGTAGAGACTGTCGGAGTCCATGAACCTGGAAGGGATGAGCGGCGAAGGACATAGCTAGACATGTCGTCGCCAACGGTAGACATGACGGAGTCGTCAACGGTAGACATGATTGACTCGACAGATCCGAGACAAAGAGTTGAACCAACAATTACACTTACACCATAAACTGTTACGAGATGAGAGGCGACCGGGGAAGTGTGAGTATGCCAGGTCCTCAAAACCAAGGGTTGACGGTCAAAGAAACCAAACTTACAAGCATAAGGGTCAGTTCGTGGGACCGTCATGATACCGGTACAGGGGTGGCACAAACGAGACAGCATTCGCATCTCGCTCAGGAACTCTCTCTTTAGCATTGCCTTCTTGTCGAATCTCAAGCACAAAGGTAGATATCTGTTCATCCCTCCCCCCTCCGACCTCAAGCCCCCAGATGAGACTGACTGAAGGAGCATCAGGGTGTCATTATGTCTCATGTTCTAGAACCTTTGCCAACCTTTCGACTCGGCCTTCGTCAAGGGTTTCTTCCCATTGCCCGCCTCCAAATCGTGCACATCGCCATCAAACGACACCAATGAAGTTCCATCCTTCTTTCTCCTCATGGTACCACTGGTGGTGCCACTGGTGGGAGCCAAATTCTCCGTGGGAGGGGGTTTACTGCTGCATTGACAATCTAGTCAGCGGATACAGCCCGAGGATCACTCATGATCCTGCTGATCCGTGCAAAAGTGATCCGCCACCATGTCTCTTTCCCGATGGAGGTAGAGCTCTCTTCGCGGCAACTGTAGAGTGGTATTGAGAGCATAGAGACAGAGGATTAGGACCCTTGTGACATTGGGACAGCAAAGACCCAATTGTAGCTAGACTTTCCATTTGTGCCCTTGTACAACCCGGGGACAAGGACTCCAAAGCCACCTTGTCCAATCACTTCAGGAGGCTCATCGAACTGGAGTTCGTCAATGCCAATGTGCCACACATGATCGCTCTTCTGCCTCTTGTAGTTGAGGAAGGCGAGGAACATGACAAGGAAGACAACCAGCGCACAGCTGAATATGATGATCATGAATATAGTAGTATCTTTGCATATGTCTCCAACATCGTAGGTGCCAGGTGCGCACACACACATCCCATCCTCGTTGGCTGTGAGCCTGCTACCAAACTCTCGTTCGCAATCCCTGTTAGTGATCATGACACGAATAGGTGACTGGGAGATTGCCACACTGTCAAAAAGGATCTCCATGACCTGTCGACAGCCACAGATCTGTCAAAAGGTTGCTAAGGCGTCTTTGGAAGCAACATAGGACATCTTCTGGTTTGAGCCACTCCCCGCAAAACTGCTGCCGACCAGGCCCTGCCACAATGATGATGATGGAAGAGACCACAAGTGGTCTTCCCGCCATCAGTCTTGCCTTGGTTGAGCCTAGGCCTTCAGCCTTGAAGTAAGCCTCAGCCTAGCCTATTGAGCCTAGGCATTTAGCCTTCAAGCTTTCAAACCTCTTCGGTGGATGAAGTTATTCTTGCAGATCGCGTGATGCTTTGAGGGATGAGTTTTCAGCCACAACAAAGCGCGTTGATGAACTTGAAGCATCGGAAGCTTACAGCTTTCATACAGTCGTCTCAAAAGATAGATACGGCGTTTACAAGAAAGACGGAAATTCGGGCAGGGGAGTTTCCTAGAGCGTCAAACTTAACGAGCGACTATCGATAGGGTGCTTCAGCCTTGAAACCGGCTGGCGGACTCGACTCGGGCTCTCTTCATGTTATTTGCTCTGACGAGTAGTTGCGGACCGTGGAAGACCGCTCCCAGTGTCGAAGCGCATGGGCAGTGTTCCTCGTCGATTCCTTTGAGCATTCCGCAATGGGGGAATGCAAGGTAAGGTCACACTCGTTCTTTACACGCTCCTCAGTCTTCGTTGCAAGTCCGTCGACTGAAGCTGGGGAGCATGGAAGCACAGAAGGTGTGACGGTGTCGAGTAGGTCGACAGCACAGCTCAGGTAGTCCCGGATAGTCGCGTCACTTTTTGTTGGCATGGCAGCACACCGAAAACAAAATTCAATCCCCTTATTCTGGTCCCTACAACATACAACCATACAACACAAGCAGCTGTTGTACCGGTGTGTCTTTGGTGTTGTTTTTGGCGCTGAACGCTCACAACTACATACTAGCTAGCTAGGCATGCAGAGATGGCCAGGTGGACGCTGTGGGTGGTTGTTGCAGCGTTGCGATCAGCACAAGCGAGCTCGAGGCTCGAGGATCCGAAGTTTCTTATTAAGGGTAGGGTTCTTCATTTTTCTAGTAAATATAACGGTGCTCAAGGGCTTAATGACTTCCGTAGCGTTTTCGTTACCCGTTGAGAGGACAGAGCACTTCGAAGAAGACCTCAACTTCGGAACTCGGCCCGTCGCTGTTGCTGTTGATTATTCCCCAATCGCGATAGAGACCCCTCAACCATTGATCCTGACAGCGTCGTCTATAGTGAATCGAAAAAGCCGCAATTGTCTCTTCTGAAGCTGCAATAGCGTCACCATGTTTTTGCCAGAGAACGTGTCAGGAGCCAACAAGGCAGAGCAAGATCGAAAGGCGGCTTTCAAACGGATTGAGGCCTGGGCTATGAATATAATATCTGCCCCACTTCGAAAGGATGTGACTGTTTCAGTCCAAGAAGTCCAGTGTGGTGATCCACAGTGTTCACCCATCGACACGGCAATTGCTATTGTTTTTAGCAGGTGAGTCAAGGTGGCTTGTTCCAGCAAAATGTTTTTCGTGTCTGGGTTGATGTGTTGCTTCTTCGATGGAGCATCTACGATCGTTACCCACTGCGACTTCTTCTCTTGTCTCATTCGATGGTCTATTAATTAATTGTGCTTGTTCTGATATCACAATTATCAATTTTAGTGGCGGTCAGGGTATGTTTGGCGTCCCGGCGGAAGCAAAGGACGTTACTGAGCAAGAATTGAAGCACTTTTTCCCAACACCTGAGGTCCTTCAAAAATGGCACAGAGGGGAAGAGGCAGATTGGCCGCCAATGAACGATGATGAGCTTGGCCCAGAGGACTTTCCTCCGCTGCGGTTTGAAGTGGGAACCAAAGTATTGTGCCGAATTGGGCCAACAGATTGGGCTCCAGGGAAAGTTATTCAACTATGGTACAGAGAACCCCAGTGGCCACAGGGTTCTTTTGCTCCCTACAAAATCAAACTCAACAATGGAAGCGACATATTTGCCCCTGGAGACCTTGATCAGGTAATTCGTCGAGACCCAAATCCATAAAGGCAAACGGAATTCCGAGTTTGTGGTGAGGAAAATATAGTGTCGATTGAATCTTTGTTGTAGGATTCGACGTGTCAGAAGGTACCGTATGCATGGCTCTATCTCCACAATTGCATATCGAAAAGGAACAGATGCATGCAACAACCTGCTGAAAGCAATTTATTAAATACCGGTACTAGCTAGAGGTTGTGGCTATTGCTTTCGTAAAATCGAGGCTGGATATGCTCCATGCTCGATTCGATTCGAACGCTTCGATTCTGCTGCGGCCGCTCGAGACTACCGGTATTCCAGAGTATGCGATGACTTGGATTACAGATATATGGTACAGCCAGGAGTTTAGATCTTCTAAGTCGCATCCGCCCAGAAAAAGGAATGATGAATCGTTGACTTAACCAGATAGGGCGGCCTTGTGCTTGTCGTCGAGCAATACCCTGCATGGCTCAAACAAACGTGAAGGCGACAAAAGCTGCCATGGCATCGGGAGCGAACGAGAGTATCTCTGTCGAAGGGAGTGCCAATCTTGATTTGCTGAATCCGTCGCCCCAGGAACAATGAAGTAGTGCACACAGGGGCTGTGGCGCCCGCCGTCGCCGAAAGCCACGAATGTTCTCGCATTGTGGACCTGAAGGCTACTACGGTACCAGTGCGCAGGCATCAAATGCAGTTGGTGTGTCATGGACGGAAGTTGGGGGCGGTCGAATGTGCACGGGGGCTGGCCTGCGCCGATTGTTGCGAACGTGAAGGAAGCAATAGGACCGACATTGTCAGAACTGGACAAGGAAAGAGCGCTTCGAGGCCTTCTTTTACCCACACTACGTACCAAATGGACCAGGTGCAGGATGATCAGAGCAGAGTGACTGTCGCTCTGTCTGAGGAGATGGACTAGTTTTTTGGGGACTCGGGGTATCCGTTCCGCAGGGCTTGGTACCGTATGACCTGGGTCTGCGCCTGGTGTTGCTCTACCGTAGCTAGGGGCTAGGGCGTGTGGTTGGTCGAGCTGTTGCGGCTGGATACGGTATGGACCAGAATTGGGTCTGGGTGCGAGGCCCTGAATTGGTGTGTGGGGAGGGCCAAGAAAGGCCAGAGCATGAATTCGCCGCCATCGGGCGCACACTGGACCACAATCAAAACAGCCATCAAACACGTCATTGAACGACATCGCGACCTTGCTTCAGAGCTTCAGAGGCTTCACACACTTCACACCCCCTTGTTCAAACCGCACCGGTACATAAGATGAACATGGCATCAACACAATATTCCAAGTCCAATTGCTCGATGTGGAAGCAACTGCTGGTTATCTGCTCTCTAGTCTTGTGGTGTAGCGACCATGCCGCCTCGGCCTTCTCTTTGAGATCTTCAGTGCCGCCGTCCACAAGGCGGATAGTTTCCTTGGCAGCCGCTCGACAACCAAGACGGAATCTCAAAAAGGTATCTTTTTCAGACAGACCTTGTCGTGTTGCCATTCATCATTTGCCCTTACTTGCTCTGCGTTGTTGTTTTGTTGTTGTTTTGCTTCTTGTCACAGCGCAAAGGCCGAGATCGAAAAAGTCCCTCGTATTCGTCTCCCAGCTTGCAAGATCAGGATGATGGTTACGAGGTCAAGCCGCTGATTTCCTACCAACGCAAAGAAGCAGGTGAAGATTTCTGGATCGACCCAGAAGATCTACGGAGAGAGAAAGAACGTGAACGTGCCATTTCCAATAGGAAGGCCATGGAGGGAGAAATGTCGAAAGAAAAGCTAATTTCAGAAGTGGTCGCACCGTACAAACAAAACTGGATCGGTATCATGTCCATGGTGATTGTTGTTTTGGCAGCCATTGTCACGAATTTCCCTGAAGTTCTGGAAAACCCGTCAATCAACTTTCCTGATCTCGACTCTGGAGATCCCATCCCAATGGAAACCACTCTGAAAAGTGTTGTCCTGGATAGATGATCGCTTTGTGAGAAAATTTGTATTTGAGAATGAAATGTACACAGACAAACAACAGCAAACGCGAAGCAGGGATGACATGCAAAGTTGAAGGACCAAACAGCCCACACATTCGATACTGTACAGGTACCTTTGCCACTTCAGATACAACAACACAGCGAAAGCCGAGAGACTGAACCAAGTCAAGTTTTGAAAGCTAGAAATCGTGCTGGCAAACCAAAACCAACCCAAGACAACTAGACGAGTACTACTGACCAGTCAAGCTCAATTCAAGGATACAAAGCGATTGCTCGAAATTGACAACACTATTTTCTTCTAATAAGTTATATATGAAATAACCCCTTCCCCTGAATAGCCATAGCCTCTCGTCTTGGCTATTGGCAGCCGCTTCAAAAGCAGCAAACGTTGTGTTGGGTTGTCTCCGCATTCTTGCATTCCCCTTTACAGACTAATTCGTTCACATGGTGTCACGATGAACTTTGCTGGAGGACTGGCATCATTGCCACTTCCAATAGATGACACATCGTCCATCTTACTCGGCGTTGCAGGAATTGTCTTCACGTCGGGCGGAGAACGGGCCAAGGATCGTGAGTGAGCCGGCAAATCCTGAGGTTCTCTGATGACGGCAGATCCTCGTCGAACAGCGCCACTGGATGGAGACCGCAAAGATTCATCGGCCACAGCCACTGTTTGGGCTTCCATAATGACAATGTCTTCTTCGCTGGTGTTTTGCTCTCCAAATTGAGGACGAAGATTCACCGAGTTAGACAGAGAAAGTACACCAGCAGCACTAGTGAAAGAGTTGGCACAAATGGAATTTGAAGGTGATCCTCCTTCACTCTTGATTTGGGGCCTGTCATTCTTCCAAAGACCACAATGATCCATGGACCCGTCCGCTTTGGTCTGGGAGTAGGAGCCGAAGAAGGTTAGAATGGCGCAAATGAATTGGACTGCAACACGTGAACCTTTGTCTTACCTGGATACCTCTTCCTTCACGTTTGCCATTCTTCCAAGAGCCACAGTACATCCTGCCATCGGGCCAAGTCATCCTCCCGTAGCCACTCTTGACTCCTTTCTCGTAAGAACCATCGTATTTTTTGCTACTGGGCCAAGTGTAGATGCCTTGGCCATGCTTGCAGCCATCCTCCCAGCTTCCAACGTATTTCTTGCCGTTGGGCCAGAGGTACACTCCCAAGCCGTGATACTTTCCATTTCTGAATTCACCAGTGTAAGTGGATCCATTCTGCCAGACAATCCGACCCTTACCGTGGGCCTTGTTGTTCTTCCACTCGCCATCGTAGGTTTTGTTCCTCCAGATCTGCATGCCATATCCTTCTCGCTTGCCGGCCTTGAATTGCCCTCTGTACTTCCAGTCGCCTTGAGTAAGGCTTCCAAAACCTTCCTCCTTTCCGTTGACAAAGTTTCCATTGTAGAGCTTTCCGTCGGCCCAAGTGTGTGTGCCTCTTCCGTGCTTCTTCCCCATTCGACATTCACCGTCAAAGCAAGCTCCATTGGGCCATGAGAAGATGACCCTTCCATTCAAGTGTCCTCCTAGCCATTGACCATTGACCCGCCTACCATCTCTCCACGTGTGAGTGCCTCGTCCATTGCGGCTGTGATCATCCCATTCGCCAACGTAGACCTGGGGCAGAAAGCGATTTGTGAGCGTCGTGCTAATGGTTGAGTCAGGCTGTTGGCCGTGACACTCAATCATCCTTGACTTACCTGGCCATCGGGCCACCGGTTCGTGCCCATTCCCCAGCGGTATCCCGCATAGATTTGGCCTTCGTAGACTTGGCCATCCATGAAATGCATGGCCCCCCATCCTTGGGGTTGCTTCATTTTGTTGAGGGGACCAGAATACCGATAGGCTACCTGCTTGGTTCTCGGATCTGTCCATGGATAGCTCTGAACCATTTCATCTCCATTGTTGTACACCGGTGGCAATGGCTTCAGTGGGCTGTTGCTATGTGGGATTATGATGGGAGAACGCAAGGTGCTAACATTGATGCCCGGGCTGTGGCTGGTGCTAGTCATGTTCAAACTGGCCGCTGATGGACTGGAGATCATGACTCGCATTCGCTTTTCGCTGTCTACAAATTCATAGAGTCGCTGCTCCAAGGATATGCGTTTCTGATGCAGCACAACCTTTTTGCTTTCAATCTCTTGCAGGCGTCTGGATATCAAACCTTCATTATCATTGTGTTTTGGAAAGTTTCCAGTGCTGCCACTGAAATTGGAAGAGGAAGACTGTTTTTGCAATCGACCCAGCAAATCTTGGGGTGCAACATCGTTGTGATGGCTAATATTGTCCAGTAGTTGTTGATTGTGGTTGTCATTGGTTTTTCTCCCGCCATTCGTCTCAAGGAGCCGATGCCGCAGTTGGTGCCTTCTATGCTGTTGTTCCATAAAATTCTCGATATGAGAAGAGCTGGGACTAACAGCCTGTTCCTCTTCATCCTCATCATCTTTTTCAATAGGAGTAATGCCTGATATAGTCGTCATACCCATGACTGAAGTTGGAGATTCTGCTGCCATCTCAGTTGCAGAAGGAGGAGAAGGAGATGGATGGCCAGCATTGTCGGTGGTCAAAGGAGAAACCACCAATGGAGAGGCGTGATGATAATGATGCTGATGAGAAGAGGTATCATCATTTCTGGCTGGAGTGAAGAATGGAGTTGATGATGGCATATTGTCTTTCTTGCGATAATCAGAAGAAGGTGGAAGACTATCAGGAGCAGTGAATTGTTTCTTAACGTGTTGATATGGTTGATTTCTCGTCCTCATCATTGTCATGTTATTAGTGTTTGATTTCAAGTTGCTACCGGTTGGTGGAATCGGCAGGGCTGGCTTGAATTTCAGGTTTTCGCGTGAACCCAAATTCTGGCGCTCTCTCGAATCATTGTTGCCGCCTGTCACGGTGGCAGCAGTGGTGTTGATTTCGGCAGTGTTGCTCATCGTGAGACTTCCACTGACAGCACATGTATCCATGAGGGAGTTTTCAGTTGGATCACCATAGGTCGCTTCGATGGTCATCATCTCTAAGAGACGGCTCGTCGAGCTGGTCGACTCTTCCATGCCTGTGACCGGAGCCTCGTTGATTGACTCCATCTTCGACTGGCAGAAGTTGCTCTTGCCACTGCTACTATTATCTTCCAACTATTAATAGCTAGCAGCCGAAGAAGAAGAGAAAGTAATAGCCAGCGTCGAAGGTGAGGACGAATGGAGAGCTGATAAGATGAGGAAAACGGAAAGAAGATGAATCCGAAGGCAGAGAAAAATGAGCAACTGACAAGTCGTTCTGTGATTGACGGGCATCCTCCCTCCTTTTAGAAGTCCAAATTCAAAAATGGCGCTTCGGCGCGACAATATCGCCTGGGAGAGTACCAGTGAAAGTCATTCCCACGAGACTTCTCCGTGATTCAAGCGGCTGTACCGCTGGCGCCAACCACCAGCAGCACAATACCGGTACCTGGTAGTAGCTACAACCAGCACATTGTAGTACTAGCTAGCTAGTAGCAACAGCAGCAACAGAATAGAATTGTCTAGACTTCCAAGTGAACCGCTCTAGCACTGTAGCTACTACATGTAGAGGTTCCACTGCCCAGAGGTCCAACTACTGGACCGGCTACTACTGGTATACTAACATTTGGACCAGCTACATGTATTTAGCTTAGTTGGTGGCAATGTTGGTCCAGGAGTGTTGTGGCTGGCTTGGAGTTGGTCCCGGAGTGAGCATCCCATTGGGCTACTGGAACCATAGGATGAGTTAGACTAGTCTAAGAGCGCTGAGGTTAAATTTTGCTAAGTAGTAGACCTAGACTCCTCGGACGAGGAGGGAACCAAGTGGAATGATCACAGCTTGCTTTCCATGCAAAAAAGTATCTGGTTTCTGCTGTATGTACGTGGCTATATGGCTGCAGCTGAGCATCTTCATCGCCTCCTAGTACATGTAGGTTTTCTTGTCAATTGGTCCATGCCGAAATTCATAGCGTTACCGAGCAGTTGTCCACGGATTGTGTCGTCTCCACTTCCATGCGTCTAGCTCTTTCTTACGTTAATACGCACTGTACTGCCTCGCTCCGCACCTCATCAATGACAATGGGACTAAGCAACCTCATGTTTGTACCTTCCTCTTTTGTCGGCAAAGATAGATGTAAACGAATTCAATAGGCCTGGCTAGTCAGACAAGCAGTGATGCTGAGTTTGTCCGAAACAAACGCATCATTCCTGACCACAGGCTTCTTTTAAAAAGCTATGGTTTCTGAGAATAATGAGCTAATCATGCAAGAACCTACAATACCGTGCCACACTTTTCAAGTGCAGGTAGGCTGCAAACTAATGCCCAGCCTCTACTTGACTGGAGAGCTTCTACAGTCTACAGTACGAGAGGAGAGTGGAGCGCAACTTCACACGAGTGGCGTTGCGCGCCTTTGCGAAGCAGCAGCACTTCTACAGTATTCGAATAGCAGCTATTCGAATACTACGAGCTACTAGTAGGAATACTGTGTCTTTCGCAAGAGTATCCATGCACGAACCCATTTGTCGGGTAGGACTATTGCCTTGCAACTTGTAAACAAGGGAAGCAGGAACACTGAGCTCTGAGATGCAGCACACGGTGTACAAGCGGATAAGGTACATGATTCATCATTCGGTGAGATTAGTGCTTGTACCCTTTGAAGGTACTCGTACTTCATTTACTAGTAGTAGTAGTGTTGTTTTTAAGAGGGAGCAGAGTACCAATCTGTAAAAATTACTTGGATATGAACAGGAAGTCAAAGGTATCGACCCCACATCGCCGACCATGAGAGCGATCGTGCGTTGTCGATGAAGGTTGGTGAGCGGTGGTGGGTGAGGAGGAGGTGGTGGGAGGGCTTTTAGCATGATACATGTAGTTGGCCCTCGACTGGTGGCTTTCACGAAACGCACGTGTAAGGAGGCAAAGTGAGTGCAGTCAAGCAATGATCATGCGATTTGGATCGATAACAGGAGGTAGCTGCAGGTTAGTCAAAATGCCTTCAGGAGTCAGCAGTCAGCCAAGTTCAGGAGAGCCTGGTCCAAAATGTGGTACCACTCCATAAACGATCCAGGCCGCCCCGCTAACTCAATGAACCTTTAAATGATTTGAAGCTTGATCTTGGCAAATGGAGAACTCTCTTTAAATTTCTTGGTCATCTGATCTTACCAAACTTGCTTTTGACGAGCTAATCCCACCAAAAATGCCCAGACATAAGTACAATAGTGCCATAGTCGATGCACCAATGGAAGGCATCTTGCACAGTATTGTAAAAATGGATCAATTTCTTTCTGTCTGTCCTGCAGATCACCTACTTGTACTATGGAGTATTGAGTACTTCAGCTGTACTTCTCGCTCTCTCTCGATGTACACACAATTAGAGTGCCACTGTGAGTGGATCTCAGTACTATTTCATTGACACTGAAATTGAATTATACCGGTGATGATGCCGGGTCCAAGCAGCTTTTATTTAATGACATGGTGCTACTGGTAATAGAGCTTCGTTGACACTAAATCTCTGCTCCGTACAAAAGTACCAGATCTGGTACTTCCTCGCGATGTTTCCCCGCTGGACCACTTCGGTCTTCGCAACGACCGCATCCATTCGGCTCTCGAGTGGTTTTGGTGGTTTTGGTGCAGGGACACTGATCAGCCACCGCAAACGTCTCGCAAACTGACCAACCGGAGGAGCAACACCAAGCACCAAAAAACCTGGGAAAGACACAGTTCGTTTCTCCCCACAAATTTCCCATTGCTCTTTTCACAAGCAAGCAAGCAACCACAACAAACAACAATAATGACAGCTAGCATGCTCATCTACCCCGCAGTGGAACCAATGTCTCTGCATTTTTCCAACAGTATTAGCACCAGCGATGAGGGTTTGTTTGACTTTGACCCTCTTCCGTTGGATGCTTCGGATAATGGCTCCTCTTCGGACCTCCGCATCTTCACTGATCTCTTCCTGCTGAACGACGATACTTGCAAGTCCTCCACACGCAAGCGTCCTCGTCGAGTCTCTTTCCAGGAAGAGCCCACAGAGGTCATCAACGTGCCTTCCTTTGCCAATTTGGCGGAAGAGGAACGAAGAGGACTCTGGTACCGCCACGGAGAAATTGAACGCTTCCGTTCGGTGGCTCGCCATGCCTGTCGCGCACTCCGCAAGAATCCCGCGGCGTACCCTGCCGATATCACGCGAGGATTGGAGCTCCGAACGTCCTTGGACCGTCAATACCGCAAGCATTTGGCACTGGCGGCCATTATCAAGGCGCAAGTCCGATACCCACAGATTGATCCTCTCCATTTGGCCGCCATTGCCAACCGCTGCACCGAGTTGCCTCGTCAGGAGGCAGTGGAGCAGGGTACAAGAGACTTTTGCGATGCCTACTTTTCCAATAACAACAACGACATGGGCATTATCGCCGCACCAGCAGTCACCAACATTCCCCTGTCCTCCGCACCTCCGACACCCGCAGCTCCACTGCGATGCTTGTCTCGTCTCAACAAGAGACACCCCTCGATGCTCTCGAGTAGTGAGTCCTTTCAAGAGGCTCCCGTTGCCAAGCGACGACGATGCATTCCTTCCAACAGTCTGCCCACTACCATTTTCTTCTATTGAACAACATGTACAAAATAGCTAATTACTCAGCTAACCTCCTAGCTGTCCCAATTAGACTTTCCTACTGCTACGGTAGCCTCTAAAAATTTTCTAGCTAGACAATTCAAACATTATTAAGCAGATAGCTCTACATGTATTGGCTGTCGAGATTCTTCCTGAACTCGTCCGCTAGCTACCTAGCTAGAGAAACATCGCAGTCCATTCATTGCACCGCTTGCTGGCTAGCCAGTGTCATTCATTACGGCTCCTTCCAAGCCTGAGTAGCTAGTAGTGGTGCCGGAAACGTTCGGCTGCTGAAACCATGACAGAAAGCACTTGCCCAGCAACCGTCATTGTCGATTGATTGCGAAGCACGATACAGTAGCCAGCAAGCACGAAATTGCCAGTTCCAGGTACAGTACTGTACCATTTTACTGCTTTGAGCTGACTCAATATCTCCGATTCTTCCTCTTGCATGCATGTCAGCAATCAGCCGTTGTGGTGCCTTCAGTTTTCGGGACCACTGAAAAATCAAAAAGACACCGGACACGAGAACAATACCTGCGGCCGGACATGTCGCAAGGATATCCCTTTTCTACTAGCTCTAGCTACATGTAGCTCTAGTAGGCAGCGGTACAGCAGACGGGCTGTGGCGGTTGGTTGTAAGATGCGCCCATCAAGTCAGAGCAAGGCATGTGGCCATTGTTTGCCATGCTTTGCCAATGTCAAAAAGGGGGCGGCTGTGCATAGCTATCGAATGATTCCATTCTGTTTGGGGCAGCCATCTAGCTTAGCTAGCTAGCTGATGAAGTAGATAGCCTGGAAGTGGGGCACGGCAAAGCAAACAGGTCATCATCAGGAATCAAAAGCTCCTAGCCTTTTTGAAGCGATGCAAGCCCTTTGCGTTCTCCTGCTTCTCCCGGAGGTGTGAAACACTCTGCCTACCGGTACATCCACTGGTGCTTTTTTGGGCGGCTTTCCCTTTCTTCTAAAGGTCCGGTAACGGGTACCGGTACCAGAAGCTGCTACCTGATAGCCAGCAAACTCTTGTTGAAGAATCTGTAGCTAGCTAGCTAGAGAGCTAGTAGGAGAAGTACACCAATCATCATGCAGCAATTCAGAATCCAGTTCCATCACGCACGAAGAAAAGGGCACGTGTGCAGGAGGAAGGGCACATTGGTTTGGGTGGAATGATTTGATCATCCTTTGTGAAAGCTCAACCAACACAGAAGGGCTACCGTGAAGCACTGCTGGCAGTCCTGAGGATTGGTCTCCATAGGAAGCCAGCTGCAATCTTTTCCTCTTCCCTCATTGACCATTGCCGTGGCAGGAGAAAGGGGCGGAACAGAGAGGAAAAGAAAAGGCTTGGGTGCCAACTTGCTTTGAAGCTCTACTACATGACATTGTAGTTGAGCTAGCTAGGAATGAGGAGAGTGGCTGAAAGGAAAGCTTTCTCCACCCTGTTCAAAGGTACGTTTACTGTCCAGGTTGCTTGCCTTGCCCGTCGTCCGAGGGTGCTGCCTTCCTCATTTCATACTCATAGATTGTTCGCTTCAACACTACTTCCTGCTGCAGCGTACATGGGTGTGACAAACCTCGATGGAAGCCAGAATGAAGCTATCGCTGAAGTCCTGTTGAACAACATCAAGGAGCTGGTGGCATCTCGTCCTTTTGATGCATGCAGGAACGCCGGAGATGACCAAGCTATCCGCACCCTTGAGCAGTATCTTGGAGCGTGACCTGTTATCATTTTCGAGGAAGCCTCCGGATGCGCAGCAACCTTCCCCAAGGCAGCTGCAGAATCCCGTCGAATCCCGTCGCGATCCGGACTCCGTTACACGGCCTTCAGCGGTACAAGAGCAGGTACACAGTCTTGTAGAACAAATCAGAGAAATCCATAACGGTACGTGGTTTGAAGTTCGGAAGAGTCTCGCTGCACCTTGCACCTGCTTTCGCACGGCGAACTGACCATGTTTCTATCATTCTTGAAGATTGCCCCTTCCATGGCTTCGACCACTGCGTGCAGGTGGTGCAAAACGCCCATGTGATGCTTCTCAAGAGCCAACCATCTCTCGAAGAGCCTCTTCCGAGCTTTGCGGCTGACAAGTTGTCAAACCTCGCCCTGACCCTGGCTTGTTTTGTTCCACGATGTGCGTCATCCTGGAATCGAATCCCCAACTTCTGTCTCGCAAAGGTGGATCCCGAGCCCAATGAGAAATACAAGGGGCAAGCTCTCGCCGAGCAGCACTCTTTTGAAGTGTCGTGGAAGCTCTTGATGAACGACGAGTTCGCCGACCTTCGTACTTGCCTCTACTTGAACACACAGGAGCTGATGAGGTTCCGTCATCTCATCATCATGAGCGTGTTGGCGACAGGTAGGTCACGTGATTCTTGGCGCGAAAGAACAGAACCAATCATGAATGAATGTACCATCCTCATAAACAACATTCCGATCGGTGCTTCCACAGATATCTTTTCGCCTGATCTTGTCGAAGGGCACCAGACTCGCTGGAGGAACGCGTTTGGAGCTCTCACCGCTGGTGACCAGGAGGAAGCTGAAAGACGCAAAAGCTTACCGGTATGCTGCCATCGATTCTAACCAATGTCTCTTCAACGTACACTGTATCTTCAGCACGCGAAATCGAACCGTGAGCTCTGGAGGAACATGGCCTTGCCATGATCGAGTACACGAAACCTTACAGGAAGTCCAAGGTCAATGTGAAGGCTCCGCTCAAGCCTCAAGACATGGTCAAAGTCGAAGTTACAAAACAGACCGCGTAAGACCTCTACTGTTGCATTCTTGCATGGCCTTCTATCTTTCCATTCGAATTGCGCAAGTGAATTGATCGGCCCAAGCAGCGGCATGGATGGGATGGAACTCGGTCGTGGACTCTCCATGCAACCTGCGACGCTTCATGTTACATTCAAACTCATCAGTTACCTTCAGGTACAATCAAACTACATTTCAAAATAATCTTACTTACTATAACTTTCATGATTCACCTTTGCAAAAGCTACGAGTAGACCTATACCGTACAGGTAGCGCTCGATGCTGTCACAACGAGGCGACCCTCGAAGAGCAAGGCATAAGCTTTGCCTCGCTGGACCGAAAATGATAGTCTCTCAGTACGTAGAGACATCAAGACCACGATCGACTCCAGATAATGGAATTGTTAGTTTCGTCTAGCTCTCTTCGTCCATGGCTTCCACTTCTCCTCCTCCGTTGTCGCTGCCATCGTCGTCATCATCATCATCGCTGTCCACCAACTTTAGTTGGAATCCCTTCTTGGCTCCTCTTGCGTGCTCCATGACCTGGTCCCAGTAGTGTTCGACTCCCTTGGCCTTCAACACCTTCCTGGCCTGGGCGGCTGTTTCACAGGATTGAAAGACAAAATTGGGAAAGGATCGTTTTACTACAAGACCTTCCCAGACCAACGCACAACGATTGTCCTTGTTGAATTTGTGTGTTGGGGCCGCCTCTTCCGCCCCTTCTTCGGTTGGCATCTCTTCGTCGTCGTCCTCGTCGTCATCTTCACCAGTTCCGGTCCACTTCATACGAACACACATGAGCCGTTTGTAGCGTTGAATAGCTTTTTGTCCGCCTTCGCAAATGACACATGCAAGGGATGGATTTTCACATTCCAAGACACCACCGGTGATCATATTCTGCTGGGCATTGAGATCCACCTTGGCGCGGTGGTAAGGGTGTGACATGTCCTGGACAAAGAACAAGGCAACTTTGGTGGCACCCTGGTTGGCATCTTGTTGCAATTTTTGATTCTTTTTCGCAGCCCGTTGTTCTTTGGTCAACTTGTTGGCTTGGTTTCGTTCCAAGTGCGCCCTCTGGCGGGCTTGAATTTGTTCCATCACCTTTTGTTCCATTTGACTGGGATCCAAATAGGCTTGATCTCCCAGAACCCGGATAAAGTTTTTGAGCGTCAATCGAGGTTCCGGTGGCGCTTCTAGACCCGCTGCTTGGCGATCCCGCAACTCTCGTTGCTTTACTTCTCGACGCAGTTTGCGTTGTCGCTTCAGTTCTCGCTTGGTCAGATACAGGACTGGTTTATTTTTGGCTTCATCGTCGTCGTTGCTGGCATGAGGTGGTTTCATCGGGACAATGTGTTGGACCAACGCGGCAGTTTTGGAGTACGACAGAGCGGCCTGTTCGAAACACGAAGTCCTCAATTCTTGCAATGGTTTTGGAGATGGTTTCGCGGGCATCTTTTTCTCTTGATCATCATCATCCTTGTCATCATCACCCATCTTGTCCGATTCCTCCGTCTTGATAGTACTATTATCATTTCCTCCCAATTGCTGCAGTTGCGCCTGGGTTTGTGCGGACAAGGCTTTTCCTTCGTGCTGCGCGACCGATTTTTTCAATTTGGAAGGCAGCAGGTCCATGTCCCACCATTCCATGACGAGCGGCATGTGATCGTAGCGATGTTCGGCCCTTTCTGGCAACAAACTGGGATGCAGAAAGGAATGATCTTCTTCGCCGCCTCCGCCACCATAGACTTGCGCCATGGTAGCCTGTGTTACGAACTGCCCCGTCTTGCGTCCACTGGTAAATCCCGAGGCTGCTGCATTGACAGCCCTTTGTCGTTTTCGTTCGGCAATTTCCACAAAGGTTCCTGGTTCGATAAAGTTCATGGTCTTGTGGCGCGACCGAGGCTTGCTAGCGCGAACCAAACGTTCATCCATCTGTTCATCTTGCTCTTCTTCTCCTTCGGCTTGCCCTCCTTCTGCAACATCAGGAGTACTCAAGTAGGGATTCACCTTTTTCTTTTTGAGAGTCGTCACGACTTGTTCTTGTTCCTTCTGAAAGGTTGGAGCCGTCTCGTTAAAGTCGAGTTCAAAGATTCGGGCCTTTTTGGACGCTGGAGCAGCATCACTTTCAGCGGTTCGTTTGGCGGGCAAAGCGGGTTGTTGTTGTTTGTTCTTGAGGGCTGCCAGTTTGGCACGGATACTCTCTTGCAGTGCCAACGCTTTGGCTCGGGCATCCAAGGGGGCAGCAGCAGCAGAGGGCGGGGCGGGAGCTGGAGCCGCCTCGGGTGCGGCAGCTCCCCATCGTCGCTTTCGACGCTTTTTCCGATCTTCTTTCGCAGCAGATTGTTGCGTAGTTTCCTGATCCGACGCCATGTTGTTGTTGCTGTTCTTTCGTTTGTGCTATGATTGTGGGCGAATGTAGGTACTGTATTTGAGGGCGGCAGTGGCGGCTTCAATCCTTTGACTGTGAGTTGAGTTCGATTGTGTTTGTGTGGTCAGATCCCGTGCTGCAGTGATCTGCCGCCTGCTTTCTACATTAGGGGTTGAGCTATTGCTGGCTCTGTCAAAGATCTTCACGCAAACCCACAACTCACCATTTTCCACATTCGACATCCTCGCCATACAGTAAACTTGAAGATGGCCGACCAACAGAGACCACCAATAAAGAGAGCAAGGAAGGAACCAGCAATTGCTGATGATGAAGGAGATGCCAACGACGAAGGTACCGAGAGTGACTTGTTTCGGAAGAGGAGGGAGAAAGAATCGCTCATTTTGAAAGAGCTGTCGGCTACCATTGCTACCCTCCAGGATCTATCCAATGTGCTAGGGGATATTGTGCAACAGACAACAACCATTAGAAAGAGAGCAGCTGGGGCAGACACTCGCAAGGTGGTCGTAAAGCAAAAAATGCTGTTGGAAGAGTTACAGCAGTGGAAGCACTTGCTGCCATCAGCGGATTTGAAGGACGTACTCTAGTACGTGTAAGTGCAGAAACAAACTCTTCCTCCATTATTTGACTAGTAGCTTTCTAGGCTAGATACTGTAGCGAGAGACGAAACTCTTCCATCAAATAGGCAACTTGACTCGACTCAGAGTCTGACTCAAGAAACCATCAGCGTGTTTGTACGTGAAAGCGCTACTATAGAACGCCAAACGCTCAACATATGCCACGGGTTGACCAGCAAGTTCCCTGGGGGTAGGAAATCGTTTCCTCCCTCTATTCACGCATAACGCAAGCACCCATAGACGCAAACCAAACCATTATTTATTAGAAAGGAAGGTGAAACCAACTCAAAACCATCCCAGTATGCCACGTTCAGTGTCCGTGTCCAACACGAACAAATCAAGCAGCATACCAGGAGCATCGGCATCGAGCAAATTGGGACCACCTTAACCTTTGTGTTTGGTATGTAAAAGGCAGACATGGCTCGTTCGACTTGACTCGACTTGCCACGACCACCTCGTGTCCAAAAAGCATATACGTTGACAAACAAAAAGTTCCAAAGCAAGCACATCCTCGTTCCATGGAAGCAACACTGCCGCCAATGGCTCGTGTCCAACACGAACCACCGCTTGGTGATGAGACTTCAAAGTGACAAGGGTGGGTACTCTTTCTTTCCTCGACAAAAGGGCCAAACCATCACATTTCCTACAACTCATTTTCTTTTATTCCTTCTCCTCCACAGGACAACGTCATCCAACTGGAACTACAGTCGCAGGGCTCGTCTACAACACGTCCCGAACCACTGCAGATCCACATGTCAACCATTGGCTACCGGTATCATCAACTAGCCGCCGCCATGAGAGATCGTATGATCAATGGTAGACTCTTCAGCCCGGCAATTCTCGGCAATGACACAATAGACGTCAACGTTGGAATCATTAGCTCCTCGGGGCTGCCAGATTCCTTGATGGTAGTCTTTACACCACTTCAACAAGGTTTCCGTATCGCCAGTGCCATCCGCCCGACTTGCATAGAGCGTCATGGCATCCCAGATAAAGTTGAGAATGCCCCAAAGGACGTCCACAGTCATTGTGTTGCCCGTCTGATTTCGGCCCGTCACAAAGATGCGGCCTTCTAGATCGACATGGCGGGTAATTCCACTCTGCAAATCGCAGCCAAGATAAATGCCAGCGGCGTTGATATTGGAAATTTCTCCGTTGCCCTTGACATCGACCACGCCCGACAAAGGCTTGTTAATTCGATTGACCAAGGTGCTGCAGTACATTTCGACGTCCCAGCCTAGAAGCTCGCAATAGGGAGACCTCAATGCCCGACTTGTGCCTTCGTTGGCAAACTCATCTTGAGCCTTGACAAACTCGTAGCCTTCGCTTTTGTTGGAGAAAATGTGTTGGATCATTGAATTGTTGATACCACTTCCGTCACCAATCCCGACCTCTACCCATATCGACAAGGGGTTTTCGCTGATATATTTACAAGCCTTTTTGTGCACTCGCTGCCAATGAGCCGCTTGGTGGTTCGTGGAACAGTAGCATACCTCCTTACAGGACGAGCAACGGAACCTGGGGTCTATAACGCCGCAGTAGCGGCAAAAAGCCGTGTTTGTGGTTCTGCTTGTCATCTTCCTCCTTCTCTACTAGCTAGCTGTGATATCTTGTGTCCTCCAAGCAGGTACTAGATTCCATCCAATGGATACCTAGCTGCTTTGGGGACACGGGGATGTCCGTCTGGCTAGTAGACCGGGGCAGAGTCGACAGAGACTCGCGCTGCTCAAAGAGACAGCTTTGTGTTGCTAAGCTACAACCTCAGACTCTGATGATGACAGTCAGTCTTCCTCCTTCTCACAAACTAATCTTCCTGATCGTCTCTGGTCGACCCCAATGGAACCAGACGCGAGGCATCTGCTATGGATGATGCAAGCGAGGAACAAAATGGCGTTGAGAAGTGAGAGAAGATGATCGACCACAACTAACTTGCAGTTGGTTGTTCTTCTATCGTTTGGGCACTGGGCAGGTTGAATGACTGGATGATGATGTACGAGCGAAGGAAAAGTGCGCCTCCGCTTTAGCGGTGCGCAGCAGCGAGAAGCAGCTTTTCCGTGTTAAACTGGGTATATTAAGCTGGGATATATCCAGCAGAGCCGGGAAAATACCCACAAAAGGACTGTCCATTTGCCTCCAGCCTGCCCTACTACCGGAATCTTTGCAATATCTGCTTGCAATCGACGGATCATCCACCACTAGCTAGCTAGTAGCTAGCAACTAAAATGACAAAAACTAGACTAATCTACAGATGAGTTTCTACGGTACCACATGGATGCCAGTACTTGAATTGAATCGTTTCTAGCTACAGTAGACTTATCTTGTGTGGGCATGAGCGTGACCATCGCTATGGTGGCTGGTTGTCTCCATGTTGAGGTGGTCGTCCGATGCCACCAATTCCTCCATGACAGATCCCAATTCTTCCATGACAGATCCTTCGGCATGATGAGATGATGAGCCGTGGCCTCCCGCATGGTCGTGGTTTCCAGTGGCATCCAAAATCACCAACGCAATGGCGATCAATGCCATACCCAAGACGAAATAGAAGATGACCGATTTATTTTCGGGATCGTACTTGTAGGACGTTGCCATCAAGTTGTTGACGGCAATGTAAATGAGCATACCACCTGAAACTCCGTGAAGCACTCCAAATGCGGTGTTGCTAAAGTCACGGGTTTCCAAAATGGCATAGCCAATCAAACCACCCAAGATGGGAGCCATGGCCGCGATGACACTGGTTAGGAATGCCTTGCATTTGTTGCCAGTAGCAAAGTAGATTGGCAAGGAAACACTACTGCCTTCTGGAAGATTATGCAAGGCAATTCCAATTGCCAAGGCAGCTCCCACAGATGGGTTGTTTACAGTCGAAACATATGTGATCAGACCCTCTGGGACATTGTGCAGGATCAAAGCCAGGGCTGTTGAAAGACCTGACCGCCACAGACTTGATTTCTCCTCGTTTGTGAGGAGTCGGCTTGTTTCATCGTCCTCCAATTCGGAACTGGAAGAAGCTGCTTCCTCGTCGATGGATGCATCGCATTTTGGATCGACAGTCACATGTACCACACTCTCATTCTTGGTGGCAACCTTCTCTTCGTCCAGTTGTTCTTCAGCCATGTCGACAGACTTGGTGCTACCGGTATGATCAGAAGCATTTGGTGCCACGGGAAGATCATGGCTATGACTATGCGGGCTAATCTTGTGCGTCACAGCGTCCAGCGCATACATGATGAGAATTCCCGAGAAAAAGCAAAGAGTTGCCCTTGTGGATGCTAGATTCTCTCCCTGTTCCGTCGTGGCATCGGCGGCAAAGAACTCGGTACTTTCCGGAAAGATATCAACAAAAGCAAGGTATGTAATAGACCCAGCAGCGAGGGCCAGCCCACCACTCAGCAGCTTGGCGTTGAATTGACGCGAGAGAGAGGGGAAGAAAACAATGGCTCCACCGACAGCGGTCGCCAGACCAGCTAGAATGGTAATGGCGAAGGCGACAGCAACGTCCTTGCTTGTGTAGTCTCCACCTTGCGAAATGATTGTAGCGCCCATTGTGAATTTCAGGTTTTAATCTATTTGTTGTTTCTTAGATGATTCGTTGAGATCCTTGAAAAGATGTCTTTCAAGGAGTCTCGACCCGATTGTGGATTGTGAGACCCCATGAGTGATCAGGGCAAGATGGAGGAACCACCGTCCAAGAGCCTAGTTTCCAGTCGAGTTTTGCCCAACAGTACGTGTAGTTTGCGCCTGGGCCCACTTGTATCTGGGTTTATTCCTTGTCTTGTCTGTTGACTGAGTTGAAGAAATTCCTTTCGGTGGTACTACTGTACAGTCGTACCCGTAAGCTGCGCAGGTATCTTACGAACCACACATGACTGAGAAGAGGTTTTCGGTTTTCACATTTTAGAGAGAGAAGATTCGATTCGCCCGGCGTTAGTCACGATTACGACGTCACAGTCTATCACTATCGCTGGAACTGTTCTCCTAGAGTCCTGCAACCACCACTGGCCACTTCACAGAAACCTTCCACCCGTCCTCCTGGTGGTGCCGCTCTTCCTTTGCTGCTGGTGCTGTTTCCAGATCCAAGAGTATCCAAAGACGACAAAGTTGGCCAGTGGCAACTCGCTTGCTGTTGTGGAGCTTAGAGAGAGAAGAGGTTGCCTTCTTCCTATCGAACTCGCGAGAGCTGAGTGCCTTGGCTCCTCTTATCCCACGATCAAACGTGTTTTCAAAGTCCACGCTTCAAAGCAAGGTTCCATCATCGCGAAATCTCTGAAGCTGCACTCTCCACGCTACGTAGTTCTTACCGTTGTGGGTTGATGAAAGGCATCACACGAAAGTCCTTCACGAATCTCTTCAACCTTGGTCTGAAAGCCGTCTCCATGTCTACGTCGGCCAGTGCCCTTGTGGGAGAGAGCGGTACTCTCCTCCGAACCTATCGACTCGCGAACCATCGGTTCTTGACACTGGCCCAAGGTTCAGTCGTCGATTTTGCTTCCAAGAAAGGTGCCATTGTCAATGCTGCCAACGAAGGTTGCTTGTTTGGTGGAGGAGTTGACGGCGCTATAACATCTGCGGGAGGGCCCAATCTCGCCGAGGATAGGCGCAAGCTGCCACGCATAAGTAGCGATGTCCGCTGTCACACAGGCGACGCCAAAGTCACTGGCCCTGGAGACTATGGAGATCTGCGTGTACCCTTTGTCATTCACGCGGTTGGCCCCAACTATTGGATGTATGACGAGGACGGAGATGTACAAACGCCGCATCGACTGCTCTACTCTGCCTACAAATCAGCTCTGGATTGCACGGTTGATCAACCCATAAAAGAGGTGGCATTTGCATTGCTGTCTGCGGGGGTCTTTCGCGGGGGTCAAAGTTTGGGTAGAGTTCTCGCCATTGGAGTTTCAGCCATTCGAGACTGGGCCGAAGACAATTCCAACTCCAGCGTGACTGATATAGTCCTCTATGCCTTTACAAATCGAGAGGCAAAGACTCTCTTGCATGTTTGTCATCGTATTTTACTGGACAACGGGGGGCACTCTGCTAGCGGTGACTCCGCTGCAACTGTGGACACCAGTGAAAAAGAAGAAGATGCAGACGCTTCCACTAAAGGTGCTGCCGACAAAGAGGCATCGGCAGAGGTTCCTCAGGAAGACGACGACAAAATGCAAGCCAGTGCGTCCATGGATGACGAAACTGGTGACTCCAAAGCGAAAGAACCGGCGGGAGCTGGGGAAGAAGTAGAAGCTACGCAAGAAGGAGAATGTCCCGATGAAACCATGATGAATGACGACAAGGAGGAAGCAAAGCAGAGTTCCACAACAGAAGGAGCAACCCCAGACACAGGCAAGTCTGACGACGCTGCTGCAAATGACGACGAGAAGAATTCATAGATCAAGCACCACCGTAGAGCGCCATCAGATAGGTTTGTCTCTCGCTTACGCTTGTTCATGTAAGTCATTTCCGAGTTTCAAACAAAGCGAACCACACACAGTATCCATTCGAGACCGGTCGAGCAGCAGGTTCAAACACTGCAATACAATAGACATGCAACATGGGTGGTCCTGCTATAGCAACCCATCGCTACAAACGATTGCACCTGACCGGTAGCTCAAGTTCCCTGTAGCTGATGTTCGTGGCTAATGACAGACATGTGTTCGATTTACACCGTACGCCTAAATCTAGTATCGTCGCACTCGTTGGAGGCTTCTCTCGAGCCAATCAAGGAGAGTCCGTCGTCATCGTCTCTTTGCAGCATGACGTACCCGCACCATCCGCTGGTGAGCTCCTGTGGAGCAGGCTCGGTGTCGCTGCAATCAGTGCCGGCGAAATTGGCTAGGACGTAGGATTGAAACGATCCGGTATCTCCAGTCTGGTAAGAAGATGTGTGGGTGACCCCATAGATCTTTCCCGAAATATCGTAGTATTCGCGGCAGTCATCATCTTGTTCATTTTGATCTCTGGTGGCCGAAACGCTGAACAGCCAAACTTCATCAGCCGTCACGTCTCCACCTTGGGCATTCCGTAAGTATCGTCCAGCAGCATTGGTCGTTGCTAAAGAAACAACGAAAAGAGATGCGAGGAGTTGAAATTTCATGTTTGGTTCTGGGCCTTGAAGAGTTTTGGGAGTTGTAGCACTAACTTCTGGGGGGTTGATAATGATGAAGGCCTTCAACTGTTTCGTCGTTGCGTGATTGTTATGGTTTCTACCGTGGTATCTGCAGGCTGATTGGTTGTGAGCTTACCCCGTCTTTCTTTTTTGTGCAGCTATGACTTATCTTGGCTTCGCTAAACTGGTTGGCATGGTACCGGTATCCCTCCTCTCGCTCTTGGCTCAAAGCTTTTGGTCTTGTCGATTCCCTCTTGAGCTCAGGTGGTGCGGTTGACCCTTGCAGGGCACAGACACCATAACCTTTTGCACGGTACATGTACCCGGGTGCCGTATTTAGACGCACACTTTGCTGGCGCTATTTGCACCGCGGGAGTGAGCCAAATGATTACAGGGTGGAGCCGGGGCCCTATCGAGTCTCCAACCCTCAATCACCTTGGGAGTCTCCAGGGAGATGTGCTCCTTCTAGCCAGAAGCCGCTCTGCTTGCTTCAAATTATGGACCTACCGGTTGGTCGCCAGCCACGTTCCTGCTGGCCGCTCTGATTGCTACCGTAGAAAGGTGTTTGCATGGATGTCGGAGACAGCTCGTAGTTTGTATCTGCCCAATCGCATCTAGAGCCTTGCAATGCCAATCGTCAGGAATATCACCATCTACATAATTAATCCTTATCAAATTCTTTCGTTGCAGGTTAGTGCTGATCACTTCTATCAAAAGGCAACTAATTGTTCCCAGTTTCTAGAGCAGCACCAGGGTTGGCAGCAGCTCCTCGAAGAGCTGATCGTAAGCCGCCCCCGTGGTGTCCCATCGCCATGGGGCCAACCGCAGCGGATGGCTCTGAGACATGGAATGCAACCAGCCCAAAACACCAAAGATGGATCAGGACAAAGTAACACAACAAGGCTAATCTGGCCAAGGGTTCATGTCGCAGGACAGTGCCCGTGTCAATCATCCAAGAATCCACCGCGTCAATTGTCTTTCCAAGATCTTCCATGGAGCTTCCTGGTCCCATGTTCAGCGCTGCGCGAATGGAACGAACAGTCACGCTGTTGCGACCGCCGTAGCCTCGACCTTTGACGCGTCGTCTCATTTGGAAACCTCCACCATAGCCGCCGCCACCTTCTGATTCGTAGTTACGTGTATTGTCGGCTGGTGGCTGAAATGCCGTCTTTTCAGCTTCATCGGCACGAGCATTTGCTGCTTTCAGGCGCCCCTTGAGAGCCATGATTTCCGATTTGTGAACGTCGGACATTCCTTGCTGCCGTAACAATTGCTCGGACAGTCGCTTCGTTTGCGTCTTACATTCTTCCAATTGCCGTTGCAGTCGTTGTACGGTGGCAGTGCTGGGGGTATCCTCATTGTTGGCACCTGGCACGTCATCGAGGTTCAAGTCATGGATTGTTTTCTCTAACCGTGAAATCGTGCTGGATTGTTCTGCCAATTTTTGATCGTACTCGCGCTGACGTTCTTGATATGTCTTGGCTTCCAGAGTCCGTTCCTGATTCATTTCGCCGAGCTCTCGCCGCAGTGCTTCCGAACGTTGACTCTCCAATCTGAGCTGTGTCTTGGTCGTTTCCAGTTCTTCCACGGCAACCTCCCATTTTTCCTTGAACAAGGCCGCGGCTGCTTTGTCATCTTCCTCTGGAAACGACGCTGGCACGCCACTTCCATTTGCCGGGACTGCGGTTGTAGTATTCGCAGCAGAAGATGCTACTGTCAGTGCCGCCCCCATTTCGGCAATGGTCCGTTCCAGTTCGGCTTCTCGAATTTGCCGTTGTTTCAATTGTCTCTTGTGTTGTTCGAGGGTATCATCCAGGCTATGTTCGGCTTGTTGTTGTCGTTCTGCGGCCGTTTTCTGGGCATCCAGTGCAGTATCTAACTTTTCTTGTAAGGATTCTTGCTGCATAGTCAACTTTTCCACCCTTCCCTCTAAGTTTGCCTTGGCTTCCTTCAACGTGACGACTTGTTTCAAGGCATCCCGTTCTCGTTGCAATGTTTCTTCCAAATCCTGACTGAGATCGCCACCTTCCTGTTGTCGTTCGGCTCTTTCATGCGACAGCTGTTCTTGGACGGCGAGTAATTGTTTCTTGTGTGCCGCTTTCAAGTTGGCAATGGTATCCTGGTGTGCCATCTTTAAGTTTTCCATTTCTTCTTCGAAATCTTCTTTCATATCTTCCTTTTCTTCTTTGAGTTCTTGTCGTTCTCGTTCCACAATGGTTGCGGCGCTGTTCAATTCTTTTTGTTGTGCCTTGATTTCCTTGTTGGCGGCATTCAATTCTTGTTGTAGCGACAGTACCTGCTTTCGCAATTGTCTCATTTCTGCCAGTACCTGTTGTTTGTTGTTGGTGTTGACGCTTCCACTACTGCCGGGTGCCTTTTTGGGCGGAGGTCTTGGCTGTTGTGGTTGTGGTTGCTTTTTGGACGGAACTTGCTGTGGTTTGGGTGGAGGAGGTGGTGCTTTGGATTTTGGTAATGGTTGTTCTGGATTCTTGGGCGCTGGCTTTGACTGTGTACTAGCAGTTGCTTTCCCAGCTGGGCTGGGTTGGGACTTCTTCGCGGGTGAGGGTTGCTGCTTTGGGGGTGGAGTCTTTTCTGCTGCTTTGGCGACTGTTTTGCTGCTAGTAGGTGTGGGAGTCTTTTGTGTGAGATCAGCGGATTGTTTGGTAGATGGAATCATTTGGGTGACGGCCGGTGATGCAGGTTGTTGCTTTGCGACTGCAGATGGTTGTTTTGGTGTTGCGAGTTGCTTTGCCTTCGTATCGGCAGGCACAACCGTATCTTGCTTCTTGGTTGATGAAGCCGGTGAGGCCTTTGAAGGATCGCCAGTGTTTGAAGTCGGTTCTGTCGGTTGGACTGCTGGTGGTGGCACAGCGGGAGGCTTGGCTATTGGAGTTGTCGCAGTGGCTTCGAGTGCCGTTGGAGTTTGTGGGAACAAGGATTCTTGGCCTTGTGTCTCCTCTGGTGTCATCAAGTCTATTTCTTCTTCTTCTTCCTCCAAGTCATCATCATCGTCCTCGTCCTCATCTTCCTCGTCGCCCGATTCCTCATCGTCCTCGTCGTCAGATTCGTCGGTTCCAAAGTAGTCTTCTTGCTGCTCGACCAAAACGTCGCGAACATTCTCAACTTGATCGTCAAGTTTTTCCAGCAAATTGTTCACCTGCTTAAACCACGACATGCTGACTCGACTCGACTCTAATACCAATTCCACTGTGTCTATAGATTGCTCGCTACGGTAGCTAGCCGGAATGTATCTATTCTGTCTCTTCAACCCAATCACAACAAGCAACAACAAGCAACAACAAGCAACAACAACTAACTGAAGCACAAGAAGAGCACTCCGAAATCGTTTTGGTGGTTCGTGGGGAGCTGAGACGCACAGTACCCTGTATCTTTCTCAAATGTTGAGTCATGAGTGTCAGTGACCGCGTCGACAAATCTTTCTTTCCCGTTCACAAAACTGACGACCATGACGAAGGAAACGTCCAAGACGAGCGCCTCGTCGGCTGTGTGGAGGCTTGTCTCGTCCCTTATTATTCTTGCATCTGTTCTGTTACTATCGTCATTGACGTTGTTCAAGCAAGATGTTCGCCATGAAAACGAAACAAGTGATGATCATGTTCGCAACCTCATCAAAGAAGACGATCAAGGAGGCATCCAAAAAATGGCGGCCGTGGATGATCCCAAGGTCTTGAACGTTCATGTGGTACCTCACACACATGATGATGTGGGATGGCTCAAGACTGTAGAGCAGTACTTTTACGGTCTCAATATGACCATTCAAAAAGCTTGTGTCAAGGACATTTTGGATACCGTGGTGGAAGCACTCCTCGACAATCCACACAGAACCTTTACCTATGTCGAAATGAGGTTCTTCTCCATGTGGTTCTACAATCAAACTGATGCTGTCAAGGATTCCGTTCGATTTCTCATTGCCAACAAACAACTCTCCTTTGCCAATGGTGGGTGGTGCATGCACGATGAAGCTGCTACCCATTTCATGGGAATGATTGATCAGACCACCTTGGGACATGCCTTTTTGAAAGAGGAACTGGGATACATTCCCAAGGTGGGATGGCAGTTGGATCCATTTGGCCATAGTGCTACACAGTCGTCTCTGCTATCGGCAAAAACGGGCTTTGATGCTCTTTATTTTGGACGAATTGATTATCAGGATTTGGATATCCGGAAAAAGACGCAGCAGTGTGAAGGTTTGTGGGCTTCTTCCGAAGCGTGGAAGAATGACACCACCAGTACGCTCTTTTGGGGCCTTACAGGAAGTTACTCGGGAAACTATGGTTCTCCTCCTGGATTTTGTTTCGATGTCCTCTGTCCGCGGGATCCTCGATTGGTTGAAATGAATCGAACCGCACTGTTGACGAGAATCCAATACTTTGCGTCGTTGTTAAAGACACAAAGTGATCGAACCCAGGGAAATCACATCATGTTGACCATGGGAGAAGATTTCAATGTAAGGTATCAAGTTGATGATAAAGTCGTTGCAGTTCTTCCTGTCTTGACTAACTTGCTTGATAACAACAATGTTTGTTTTTCCAGTATCGACACGCCAACTCCATGTTTGCCAATACGGATTTGATGGTGTCATCGGTCAACATGTTTCAGCGATGGAACCTTCTGGATGTGCCATCCATCATGGGGCCAAGATTCAACCGAATCAACATCTTCTACTCGTCGCCAGAGTACTACACGCAGATGAAGCATGCGCAGACCGAAAAAACCAACAAACAGAACAAAGCAACAACACAATCAAAATCCACCCGTACGACTACGACTACTAGTACTGACGGTAGTGTCGAATGGAAAACCAAGACTGATGACTTCTTTCCATACTCCGACTGCCCTCATTGTTTCTGGACGGGATACTTTACTTCCAGGGCTGCCTTTAAGAGACTGGAACGAGTGAGTTCCTCGTTTCTGCTGGCAGCTCGACAAATCGAGTCATTCCCGGACACCAATGGCACCTCCAGTAGTGCTGGCGATGATGAACCCTTGTATGAACTCGAAGATGCACTGGGAGTGGCGCAGCACCATGATGCGGTGTCGGGAACCGCCAAACAACACGTCTCCAATGACTACAGCCGGCGCTTGCAGTCCGGAATCAACAGAGCAGCAATCTTTGTGGAAAACAAGTTGAAGCAGGTGCTTGCCAATGGATCCAGTGTGCTCAATAATCTTACTTATTGCCAACTGATCAACGAAACAATCTGCGAAGTGTCTCAAGTAAGTACCGTACATTACAGTATTTGCATGCAATAGCACGTCCAAGGAAGGTTCGCTCAATCTTTCACGTTGTTTTAGGAAGCAACCAAGGAAACTGGTAACGACATGTACGTGGTGGTGTATAATCCATTGGGTTCCAACAAATCTAGGATCATTAGGCTGCCTGTGTCGGCCTCTGGGCCGTTTGAAGTGACAAAAATGGGCAACGAAAGTGATACCAGTACAAGTCAGTACTTCACGGCCACTAGCGCCCAACTACAGGAAGTGAGATCTACCGCGGCTGCCAAGTATGTCCTTTCGTTCAGTACAGGCGCGCTTGCACATGTCGGTGCTACGACCTTCAAGGTCACGAGAACGACCTCGGACATTGTTGCTGTGGTGGCCGAAAAAAGTCGTCGTCTGCAGTCTAAGGTTGTCATCAAGGATAGCAACGAAGCCGTCGCTGCTTCCAACGGCTTGTTGGAAGCTCAATTCGATCGGTGAGTATCCTGTTTGGTTCTTTGTTTTTCGAATGTTCTTGCTGTTTCTGACTCAAAAAGTGTTTTGTACTGCTTCAGGAACACCGGCGCGCTGGAAGCCATATCAATGAATAACGTCACCGTAGATGTGTCCCAGAGTTGGGGCTATTATACGTCGTTTGACAACAAAATGGACAAGCCGGACAATACTGTCGGAGGGAAGCAGGTAAGTTCCCTTGCTCCAGAGCATTGCCAGCACAAGGAATCGTAGTATATTATACTAACTTTGGCTTCGACATGTACGGTCAAGAACTCGGGAGCATACATTTTCCGCCCCAGCAAACCGAACCAGGAACTCAACGTCATTCCCTATGCACAAGGTGCCATCTTTGTGAACAATTCTCTGGGACTTGAGGTGCATGCGCAATTTGAGGAAAGATGGATCAAGCAAGTCACAAGGGTGATGAAAGGCCTCCCATATGTCGACATAGAGTTTACAATAGGGCCAATTCCAATTGATGACAATAGAGGAAAGGAAATTGTGACCAGATTTAATACTGCAATTCAAAGCAATGCAACATTCTACACCGATTCCAATGGGCGCGAGTTTCAAAAGCGTCACCGCAACTTCAGACCATCCTGGCCTTTGGATGTGTATGAGCCTGTTGCTGGAAACTACTATCCTGTGAACGCAGCAATATACATTGAAGACAAGTCTTCATCCTTCTCTGTTCTGGTTGATAGAACTCAAGGCGGGGCCTCATTGTTGGATGGATCCGTGGAGCTGATGGCACATCGGCGTCTCGTTGCTGACGACCGTCGTGGTGTTACTGAGCCCATGAATGAAACAGATGGTGGTGTGACCCCTTACCCGCCTTATGGAACAAATGAACGCTGGGGCGAGGGTCTTGTGATTCGCGGTTCACACCGGATCATGATTGGAGCTGGAAACCAAGGAGCAAGCCTTGCCCGTTCTGAAATGGACGAGAGCTTTGCGAATCCCTTGGTCTTTGTCGCCTCTGCAAAGTCCGACGATCGGGTTTCGTTGTCAAGAGTGTCCTTTTCGGCGCTACAAGCTGCGCTCCCACCCAATGTCATGTTGGTGACCTTCAAGAAGCTTCATGGAAACCACACGAACGAGTACTTGATTCGACTGGGTCATCAGTATTCTTTGGGAGAAGACGACCAGCTTTCCAAACCTGCAACTATCGACCTTTCCAATCTCTTTGCGGGCTTCACGGTAGCATCTGTAACAGAGATGACGCTGAGCGCAAACCAAGCCTACGACAACTGGATCAAGACCCGCCTCGATTGGACCGGCTCGGGAGGCAGATCACTCTCCGGGTTGGGCGATGACAACACAACGGTGGTGCTCCAACCAATGGACGTCCGAACCTATGTTGTAGCACTGAATCGGCGTCGCCGTGAAAGTGGCACGAATTCCTAATAAAGCGGGTTCTGAACTCGAAGAATAAAGCTCAATCTATAGACCATCAGCAATGCATCCTAGAAAGTGCCTCTGGAAAGCTAAGCTAAGCTAAACTAAACTAAACTCCACAAGACTTCCTCACCTGCTCGAAGTGGGGTCACAGACTTGCCATCCCCAAAGTCAAAACTAGAGGGCACCGTCCAAGACTTCTTCTCCAGCGTGATTGTTTTGGTATTGCGTGGTAGTCCGTAGTGATCGGCACCATTGGAACTGCAGAAAGCCTCCAAATGCTCTAGTTTGCCTGCCTCGTCAAAGGCTTCTGCGTAGAGTTCTACGGCAGCATGCGCAGTAAAAACACCAGCACAACCACACGCAGCTTCTTTTGTGTCTGTGGAGTGGGGTGCCGAATCGGTCCCCAAGAAGAACTTGTTACTTCCCGAAGTGGCGGCCTCCACCAGTGCTAGTCGATGCTTTTCCGCCTTGAGAATGGGCAAGCAATACAAATGAGGACGAATGCCACCAACCAAAAGGTCTGTTGTACCAATAATAACAACTTGTGAGGGGCTACATCAAATCACAGCCATAGACCATGCATCCATGCACCTACTATTCCGATTGTAAAGCAAATGATGACACGTAATGCTGGCCTTCATATTGTCGGACGAAGCCAAGACATAATCCACTGCTTCCTTGGTACTGATGTGTTCCATCGTAATTTTGAGATTGGGAAACTTGGCCACCAGTGGTTTCATGATTTCTTCCAGAAAGGCTGGTTCTCGTTCAAAGATATCCCCGTGTGTCACCTCCGAGTGAATGCACAACATCATTCTTGGGTAATAGAGGTAACAGGAGACAAAATGAGCAGGAAGAGTAAGCAACTTTGAAACTACCACCTCGCCAGGTTTCAGATTTAATCATTCTAAGAGTGCGCGATGGATTTTTTACTCACCCAACCTTTTGCATTTCTTCTATTACAGGGTAGAGATTCTTCACGTCTGTAACCCCCGCATCGGAATTGGTGGTGGCTCCTGCTGGATAATACTTGCAGGCAACGTACTTTCCGAATTCTTTGTGAGCCTTTTGGATTTCTTCCGGCGAGGTATTATCAGTCAAGTAAAGCGTCATGATGGGCTCCATGGTGCATCCTTCCGGCATGGCCTTGGTAATGTGCTGCTTGTATTGAATGGCCAATTCTGTGCTGACAATTGGAGGTTTGGTGTTGGGCATCATCAAACATCGACCGAATCGTTGCGAGGCAAACTTGAGGACTGCCGCTGTTTTGGGACCATCCCGAACATGATGATGAAAGTCATCCGGCAAGCGAAGAGTCAATTTCGTGCCAGCTGCAGATGCCGTCATGGTGGTCCTGATGCCGGTTGTTGTTCTGGGATCAATAGTGGAACCAATCACTGGGAAAAGAGGTTTTATTTGTGCGAATGCTGACCACGCGGAGAGAGGTCGGCAAGAGCGGATAAAAGCAAACGACGAGATCGTGGCTCTATCTAGAGTAATAATGGTGATGGTTGGTCAATTCTACAGATCAATTACTTGATGGATTAGGTTTGTGGCTCTGGGGCCCTTCTTGGCGGCGGCTGCCTCTTGGGAAGCGAAGCCATCACATTTTTTGGATTTTGGATCTTTGGGGACACATGAGTGTTGCAGATTTCTCTGAGCTACGCTAGGGTTCGGGGACACCAAAGAGCCGCTCACCAGCCCCTCACAAGTACCAGGAAGGCCCGGTCATGCGACTGAAAATCGCCAAAATCGGCATAAAGTCGCACAGGAGCACCAAAGTCGCATCAAAAGTCGTTCATAAAGTCGCATGCGAGTCGCACCAAAGTCGCGTGCGACTTTCTCACACGACTTTGAAAGTCGTGCAAGTTTACTGTAAGTATGGCGATAAAGTCGCGTCGGATCGCTGAAAGTCGTTCGGAAAGTCGTACCAAAGTCGCGTACGACTCGCACGCGACTTTGTGAACGACTTTCAGCGATCCGACGCGACTTTGACCATAGCAAGAAGAATCCGGGACTAACAGTCGCATGACGAGGCCTTCCAGTACCATGTACTAGTACACTCTAGCTAGACACTAGCTAGCTAGCTAGTAGCAGTAGCTAGCTCGTCGGAATGATTGCGACTCTCTAAACTGTGTGTGTTCACCAGAGATCTACAACTGGTAGCCTAGTTATAAGCAACGAGCGCTACAGTACAAGTGCATGTATTCATTAGTCGGTGGCTGTGTGATTTGAATATTTTGAGCCATAGTTTACAGCTGTACTAGCTAGTACCAGTCAGTCAACTTTTGACGTACATGTAGCAGACGAGGCCAGGGAGAGAAAAGGAAGGGTAGGGTGGACAACAAAATACTATGTGACTTACGTGTGGAACCGGGTTGACAAGATTGGATCAACAATGGGACCATTGTTGTTAGTCTACATGTACTTGGTATCTGAGCTGCCTTTGTGTTACTAGTACGGTACACGTTGGTTTGCTAAGTAATCGGCAACCAACATTCGGAAGGATTTGTGAACTGTACTAGCCAGATGAAAGCTACATGTAGTACTAGCTAGTATGTTGTGGCAAGCCGGTTATACCGTTGTTAGCTAGCCGAAGTCAACGTTTGCATTAATGCGTACCTACTGGTAGTACTAGTACTGTATTATGGTTTTGTACATGCATAACCGTTCCATTGGAGTATTGGGGGCTGAACTGGTGAAGACAACCAAGTGTGTTCCGATTGAAGCCCAATGGTTGCGGCTGGGGTGAACGCTTGGGTCTATGATGGGAACTTGGTTGGCAACAGACATCGCGCGCTTTAGCATGGTTTGATTCTGGACCTGGACTGGACCTGGATGATACATGAAGTACAGTACCGGTACCGGTAGCTCTATTATACCGGTTCCAATGGAGTTGTTTACTTGTAGTAGTGGACGTTTACCAAGCAACGTGTTCAATCTCGGCCGCTCTTCTAGCCGGATATGGCAATGACGGCCAAAAATAATCTAGACGGCTCCAAGCCGAGGGCGGCCCGTTGATCTTCGTTTTCGAGTTTCTAGCTAGCTCTTCCTCTCTCTTAGCCAGTGAGTGGGCTGGTTTTCCAATGTAGCGCAGCAAAACATAGTGTCTGTTTGAGCTTTGCTTGCTTTTTCTTTTTGTTAGTATTATTGTGAATTTACAGTGTATGCAACAAGATGCAATGATTTCATTTCTGATGAGGTCCACAGCGAGAGGGAATGATTGAAAAATATGAAAAAAAGGCCAGGCATCTGTATTTCCCCAGAGAATTTAGCGGCAAAGAGCCGAGCGTCGTCGTCTCTTTTCCTGGAGCAACCAATCCTTTTTGAAACCAAGCCCGGCACCGTAAACCTGAGTGACACCGGGAGGATGTTCAAAGACAGGATTGACCATGCGACAGTTTTCCTCGGGGCAAACGACGTGTTCACAGTCTGCCACGGAGACCAGTTCCACTCCGCACTCCAAACAAATGCATTCCAAAGTGCTGTTGTTGTCGACAGCTCTCCACACTTCGTTGGCACCACGAAAGGGAACGTAAAAACCGGGTGCAATTTCCATTTCGTAGTTTTCGTCGTCCTGTTGTTGGTGCTTGTCCTGCGCTTGCGAGGTTAATTCTTCCAACGTCTTGTGCTCTGTAGTGGCAGTCGCTGCTGCTGCAGGAGGAGCAGCTGCGTGGTGCTCGCTGGGTGGTTGTGGTGGCTGCGCTGCCGAAACATAATCGTCTTCATGGTCGTAGCAAAAGGTCGATTGTGAATCGTCCATGCCGGGTTCCCGTCGACCGTACAAATTCATAGGACCGCCACGAGGATCAAACTCCACCGACGAGTGTCCCGAATCATCTTCATCTCCGAGCAACGAACCCTGCTTGGAAGGACGACCCAGCGACGGCACCGTTGGAATTCCTCCGCGGCCGCGTGTGTGATGACTGCTCTGCATCAAAGACCGACTGCTGCTGTGCATCAAGGATCGACTGCTGCTGTTCATTTGAGAAATACTGCTGTTGTGCAATTGCGAAATACTGCTGTGCAACAAATTCGTGGAAGGCTCTTGCGCCGTGCTGCCGCCGCGAGTGCTCTCATTCTTCAACAATTGATCCAAATTGTTGACTCGAGCGCGCGACTTTTGGTGGCCCGAATTGCCACTGGTCCCCAACTTGCTGCGGAGACCACGGGTGCCGACACGAGAGCTCCTCAAGGGAGATTGCTGTTGGTTTGCTGGGAGCTGCATGGTACCGGTATGGTTGCCAAAGAAAGGGAGAGAGGAAACTTGTCTTTCTAAAGGACGGGTTCTGAAGGTTGTGAGATGAGAGGCGGAGCGATACAGCAAGGATTTGTTCACTCGAATCAAATCGAATCCGATCTGGGAACCCAGGTAGAGAACGGACTCAAACCGAAAGCAGTCTTTCGTCTCGCTTACCGGTGGCAAAATTTAGCTACCGGTAGCTAGCTAGTAATCGAACTGGTTTATTCCAGGCCAGTCTGAGTAGATGTGGTAAAACTCATCTTTCCTGTATTTTTATTAGTAAACTTTACTCAACTTTACCTCAACTACGTAGTAACCATTGTTTGCTGCATGCGCAAGTGAACAAGTGAATGAAGACTTTTAGTGCTTTGGCACTTTGGCACTGTTCGCTCAGTCAGCGACGACAAAAAGAGTCTTGGACAAACTGCATGAAGCAGAAGCTTTCTGATTGCTGATTGTTGCCTGCAAGGATCCGAGTCATCCGACAGCCTTCACAGTTAGTTAATCCAACACTTTAGGCTTCTCGCTTCTACACTCCTCGCTCATACATCGTACTTTTAATTAAGATAAGTGGGAAGACTCGAGTTTGCAGAAAAAATGCTAAGATAACCTAGCCCTCGGATTTCACAAACCAGTAAGATAAGCTATGAGTACCAATGTCTCAAATCTTAAGCTAATACTATATACAACAACTAGTATGTGGGAAGCAAAGGCAGCTAGTATCCACTATCTTCCGCATCACCTTCTACATCCGAATCCTCCGTATCCCCATTTTGGGGTGCGTCCTCTATCACAACATCTTTTGTTTCATCAATTTTGGCTTTGCACCTTTGCCTTCTTGGGCGTTGGTGGTGGCTCCTTACTGTCTGAGGGCCTGGCTAGTATTAGGGTAGGTGACAATAGCTGCTAGTATCAATGAGATATGAAGGATACTGAGATTGGGCTGCTGGTAAGATATGATATCCACTCAGTGTGGATGCTGATGAATCCTGTACATGTAAGATGCTTCCTTTAACTCAGAATAGAGTTATCTTATAAATGCGGGAATAGTGTAACTAAATGCTGTATTTGTACCGGAAAAAGTATGTAAAACACCAAGCCACCAACTACCAACCACCAAACAAAAACCACCTGCACCACCAACCACACCCTAAGCCCTGTTCAAATGCTGTCACTATGTCATGTCTTAACTACTCTTATGTCTTTTTAAATTTTACGGTTCTTGTTTCGAGACGGCAACTGAAGATGACAATGGGGCCGAGTTGACTTACTCCAGAGTACAGAACTGCATGTTGCCATGCTGGATCCCTTTTAAAAGCATAGTTTTCACCTTGCCAAAGCTGCACGGAGCTTTTTACGGTTCACTGGTACATTCTACATGTACTCGGTGCTCGGTGCTAATTAATAATAATTGACAGTTGACAGAGCTATTAATACGCTTGGAATCCGATTGACAGCCACTCAGCCATTGCCACCTCGATCCAGTGGTACAGGTACAGTGGTACGGCGTACCTCCGAGCAGAGCTCCCATCAACGATCTTCCAGCTCCATCCTAATGCTACCGGTAGTACTGTACTGTGTTGCCATGTGAAGCCACCGCACCCCTCATGATCTGGCGACTGGGCTGCAATGGAAAGCAAAGATTTCATGAAAAGATATTTCGGAACATTCAAAACAAGGAGAGGGCGCATTCCAAGGAACCAAGAACCAGCTATGGGAATAGTATCGTTCTGCTATACTAGTACTCAAGTTATCATTGGACTGGCATGACAATATTGGTGCAATAGTCTCAGATTGGAGGCGAGTTGTTGTTGCTTTGCTACGGTGGTACCATACAGACAATCGCCAACAACATCCTTTTGATCCACCAAGTCGCTCCGCTCAAACACAAGCCGTCTTGCCTTCTTGGATGCCATTGGTTTCCACAGCCGAATCATCCTCCATATTGTCTTCAACATCGTCAAAACACTCTTCCTTGCATTCTCCAATGTTGCGAACCATAAAAGGGTCTGCTGGGTGTTGGCGCCCCACAGCAGCTGCATCCGACTCTTCTTCCAACGGAGCCATCTCGGCGCTACTTGTACCACGAGTATCATCAGCGGCATCTCCAAGGCTTTCCTCCTTGGACTCTTCTAGAATGGGCTCTGCTTGGTTGTGTTCAGCAACCTTTTCTTCTCCCTTGCCTTGCTCTTCTTCCATGGCAGTATCCTCGGGAACGGTGGCAGTACTGGTAGAGGAAGAATTCGTCTCAAACTCTTCCACGTACTGCAATCGAAGACTCTCGCGAACCGATCGAGCAATGGCTCGTGACAACTCTACAGGAACAGCATTGCCCACCTGACGTTGCTGGTCCGTCGCAGAACCCAAAAACTCGTAGTCATATGGAAAGGATTGCAAGGCCGCTGCTTCTCGAACAGTGATGCAACGCTTTTCTTCATAGTGAAGCACGGCACAACCAGACGCCTTCATGGCAGGTGCAAAACGCTTCTCTTGAAGACGTTCACACTCGGGAGACACTTCCGTACGACTAGACGTCAAGGCCGAGTTGGGGTACTGCTTTCCAGCAGGAGTACGAAGGTATTCCATCACATCCTTGGGGTATACATAGGGCTTTTTACGTGGCCCGTGTGTCGGCGATGGATGGTCCGGCATTTGGACGTAGTTCTTGGCAGCAATGATAATCAACCGAGGCCGCTTCTGAGGATCCCCATAGTCACACGCTGAAGAGGAGAGAAAGAACCAACAAAGAAGAGCCTCGTGAGAACGTGGAATCAACCACCTACATGTACAAGCGATGCAACAATACACCAGAACATACTTACAGCGAAGAATCTTGAAACGAACTTGATACCCGAGATCAATGCAACGAATGAGGATTTCTCGGAGATACGGCATTCCCTTGACAGACCACATGCCCTCCACATTCTCAAAGACTCCAACCTTGGCGTCGAGAAGCTCCAAGAGCTCAGGGTAGGTGAAGGAGAGTTTGTTGTTCGCATCATCGTTCACCCCACCATAGCGATTGGCGCGAGAAAAGCCCTGGCATGGACTTGATGTGTGAATGACATCGATTGGACCCAGCTCCTTCTCACGGAGTTCCTTTCGACGATACTCAGGCTCCTCTCGCACCTTGCGAATAAACTCGCGAATGTCGCCATTGTAGACTGCGACTCCAGGGTTGTTGTGACGGAAAGTCTTGACTGCAACTGGATTGTATTCAATCGCCATGGCTGTTGCGTATCCCTCAGCCTCATATCCAAGGTGCATCCCTCCAGCGCCTGAGAATCCTTCAACGAGTCGAATCTGCTTCCGAGGAACGCGAACAAGGTTTCGACCATCATTGTCGCGGACATATCCCAACGACTGAGTATTGCCATTTGTGCGCGGCTCATAGATGAGCCGGGGAATGTCACTTGGTTCCAGGCATACCTGAACCAACTCAGACAAAGGGACCCGCTTGGTCCCACGCACTTGAACAAATTCGGTGGAGTAGTGCTTGCTTACTGCTTGGGCAAATTTCTTGGCAAAATCGCCGCTTTCTTCTTGACCAAGAAAGGTCTTGGAGGTGTGCACGATCCCAACACAGTTGGCTTCCTTGACAGTTCGGAATGATTTGATCCCCACGATGTTCTTGATGCCTTCCTCGCTGTCCGGGTCTTTGTAGTAGTAGCATTTTCCTTTGTGGAAACGGCGGCCTCCAAAGTCAACAAAGTCAAGTTGGCTGCCTTTTTCATTGGACGCCTCCTTCTCGGGGGCGATATCAAACAAGGAAGCTTCTTTTGGGTTGAAACCTTGGTCCATGAGGTCGAACTTGCCCATCGCTCCAGCGTCTTCTCCGGCATCTTCATCATCGTTCTTGCCGTCCTCGTCATCTTCCAGCAGCACGTCGCCTTTTTCACGGGGACCGCGGGCAACTCGCACGCTACCAATGTTTGCCTGGCGGGCCTCATCAGCAAGGGCCTCGTCAACTTCCATGGCGTCGCCCATAACGACATCTCCAGCTGTGTCCTTGGTCTCGGCTGGCTTGTCTGAATCCAAAACGATTCCAAGGGCACGAGCTCCAGAGCCGCTGTCCCCTCCGCCGCCTCTGGTGTGACTTGGACCCTCGGCTTCGGACAACTCTGCTCCGACAGTTACCGCAAAACGTATCCAATCTGTCTTCTTGAAGAGAGTTAAGGGGTTTCCATCGCACTCGAGGGTGTCCAAGTAAACGAGAGCGGCAGCAACAATGTTTTGAGCTGCAGAATCCACTAGGGCAAGTTGCTGTCGATCCAATTGATACTGCTTTGCTTTCAAGGTCTCGTAGTTGGTAATGCCAGCGAGGACCAGTTTGCTGTGCTCTCCCTCCGGGATGCGCAATTCGTTCAGGACTTTCGATAGCTTAGGATCCATGCTTTCAAGTTGCAATCGATGCGTTCTATCTCTCAGGCTGATAGCTGGGAGATTGTGAACAAGCGATTCTTCGATTTTGCTTTGGAGGTCAAATCCGTGATCGTGAGCTAACTGAGTTGTGAGAGGTTTGGCTGGCTAGGGAAGTGAATGATAACGGTACGGTGAATCGAAACTATCGCCGGCCACGGCGTTGGATAAGTCGGTAGTTTCTCTTGCCGTTTCATCAGTCAGGCCAGTCTTGGTCGAGGAAGAATCCAATGCAATCAACATACAAGCGCTCCACCACGACAACAACAGGACCGTTCGACGATTTGAAATGGTTGGAAAAGGTCCAGAGTATCCACGGCGACGGCGATGATAATGATGACCGGAATCGTGGAATCTTCGTTCTATACGGTAGCGTTAGCGTGGAGCGATCAGTTGGGCCAAACGCACACGCACCGTCCCAGTCGATGCCAGTACCTGCCAAAACATGCAACAAACACTGTGCCCTACTTTCGCATCAAACGGTTCGTTGCGACAGCTCTTAACATTACCAGTCAGCAAGCCCGGGAATACTGTCTTGAGCGGTTGGCGTCTATTCAGAATGCCGAAGTATTCACTGAAAGGCAAGCCTTACAGAGTATGCGTGCTACCGGTAGGCTGGATACGGGATCGAGCTTGGTCCGCTTTTTAAAAAGCCTGTCACAGTCTCGACGGGCAAGTCCCGCAGCCAACACAATTCAAGTGAACCCTCCATTGAACGTGTCATTTCGAAGCGAAATTTGAAGCTCACAATCTTTGCGAAAGCAGTATCAGAGCACCAGTGCTAGCTAGTAGAGCTTACAGTGTTGTTCATCCACAATTGCCTGCCACCGAAGCGACGACTCTATTGCCGCCATGTCTTCGTCGTTGGGAGCGATGTCGTCGTTGGTCTCCCTATTTGGGTTGCTCGGTATTCCCAAGGGTGACAAGAAACAACTGCAGCAACAGCATGGGATTGATACACCTTCTCGCCTGGTAAGCAAGCGAGAACACTTGGCCCGTAGTTCCAATCCGACCTGCTTGCTTCTTGTGGCTGCAATTGACTTCATTTCTACGCGTCGGAATAACCACCAACTCTCCCATGATGCAGCCGTTCACCAACACTTCAAATCATTTGATTCGCTCCAGAACTCGTGGGAACACAGCTTGGCTTTGAAGATTTTACGGGCCCGGAGTCATTGCCAGCAGCTCGTCCCAACAACCAAGGCCGCACCACGAAAGCCCAAGGAAGCTAGCAAACTTGTTCCTCTTCAGGACCAGAAAGGTTTTAGACAAGGCGACAAGTATTGGGAGGATGTACAGCACGGAAATCCCAACGCAAAGGACACGTTGGATGAGGGTTTCACTGCAGCAATTCTTGGTCCTGACGACAAAGGTTGGGAAGAAGATCTCGATAACCAGGAGGTATTTATTCCGGATCCATCTCGGCAGGACACCGCGTTGCTTCGTTTGCCTGAGCGCGTCTTCAAAGATCTGTTCAACTTCCAGAAGGTAGGCGTTGAGTGGATGACTGGGTTGTATCATCAAGAAAGTGGTGGAATCTTGGGAGAGTAAGTACCAGTACGGCGTGATGACGATCAAGAAGTCTTGATTTCTAAACACGCAGATGGCGTTTGCTTTCGCCCCATTCACCGGTACTGTAGCGAGATGGGAATGGTAAGTCTCTGTGCCTGAAAATGGAGAAGTAAACGGTACGGGTCGTTGAGCTCATCATCAACGTTTGTCCTCTATTTTCAACTAATAGGGGAAGACACGACAGACCCTGGTTCTCCTCCTCGGCTTGATCCACGCAGGCTCAATTCGAAATGCTCTCATCGTCTGCCCGAAGAGTGTCCTTGACGAAACTTGGCTGAAGGAAGTGAAAAAACTGATTGCGTTCTTCAGTTGGAAACATCAGGAGCCAAAAGTTGTCATGGCTGCAAGTACGCTGACTGAGAGGCAGCGCCTTCAGGTCTTGAAACTCGCACGTAACTGGTAGGTGATCACCAATACTTGCTTGGTTCCAAGTGCCACACACTAAATTCATTCTTTCCTCTCAGCTCTGAGCAGGCACCACATCTGATCATAACGTCCTACCCACAAGTACAAGCAAGCAAGCGGGGCTTCATGCCTGGAAATGGTGTCGGTTCTGGGCTTGGCTTCTTTCAAGTGGTTGTGCTGGACGAAGCCCACAGAGTGAAGAACCCAAAATCGAGACTCAGAAAACATCTTGACTTCATCTGCAAGAAATCTTGCAAACTCCTTTTAACTGGTACCCCAATATTGAACAGACTGGAGGAATTGCACAGCCTTCTCAAGATGGCAGCCCCAGATGAGTTTGGGGAATGGCCTCGTTTTCGCGATCAGTACGCGAGGCCAATCGAAGCGTCAAGACAGCCAAGTGCATCCAGCTACGAGATAAAGCGAGGCGAAAAGCTCGTTGCAGAGCTTCAAGAAAAGATTCTGCCATATCTGCTACAACGGCAGAAGAAGGACCATCTCAAATCCATGGTTCCGCCAAACTATGAGTTTGATGTATGGACGAAGCTCTCGCCGAAACAAAGGAGCCTATATTCGGAGTTTGTAAAGGATGGCAAATTGCTTTCGGGGATCAGCAACAAAGACGCAACTTGTGTTCTGCCAGCCATCCACAAGTTGCGGTACCTATGCAACCATCCACTGCTGTTCAACCATGCCCTCGAAGGGGACAAGCAAACGATTAAGTCGACCTTGCAGGCTTTGGGCAAACAGACTCTCGTTGATCAGAGTCCAAAAATGAGGGTGATGTTGAAACTATTGCACAAATGGCGTTCGGATGGCCTCAAGGTTCTCGTCTTCTCTCACTCTGTGAAGATGCTGAACATCATTGAGTTCGTACTTGCTGGAACAGAGGGCATCCAGGTGTGCCGGATTGACGGCTCAACAAGCCAGAAGCGGCGCCAGCAGCTAGTGCGTGACTTCAACCGTATTGGATCACAGTACAATATCATGCTCCTCTCAATCGAAGCTGGAGGGGAAGGTTTGACTCTTACAGGAGCCAACAAAAGCATCCTGTTCGACCCCGCGTGGACATTGGCCAAGTCGGATCAAGCAGTGGCTCGAACTTGCCGTCCAGGGCAGACAAGGGATTGCGAGACTGTACACTTGCTGTCTGCGGGTACAGTCGAGGAAAAGGTGAGATCAATGCTGACATCACATGTGATTCTTTCAATGCAAGCTCACAAGCCTTTCGTTTGCAGATGTACGGGAAACAGATGTACAAGGGTGGCGTAGAAGGGGCTATCCTTGCCAACAGATCTAAAGGTTTTGAAATGAGGTTTTATGACAAAGACGAACTCACAAAACTCTTCACCCTTGAACCTGATGATGTGTGCGAAAGCCTCAAACTCAGTTTGAAGCAAGGGAGTGCTTGCCTGAAGAAGTGCAGCGTCAACAGCAATGACAAAAAAAGCGTTGTGGGCATCTCCCGTCGAAACAGCTTGAAGTCCAGTTAGGCTCGACGCCACTTGACTCGACTGGGCTGGACTGCTGAGCCTATTGCGGCTTTCGTCAAGCTATCACCGCTATGTACAGGGATGGAGGAAGGGACCCCAGCCTGTGCTCACAACGTCTACCAACGTGACATTCCAGTTGGCTGGTGTCTGTCGGAGTTATCATCTAGCATGTTGAGTTTAATAAAAGAAGATTTATTCTGTTTCGTCTGTTGCGTGTTTAGTTAGCGACTTCTAACCAACAAGATCGTGTCAAGCTTGCCTGGTGCACTGGCCAACAAGGAGGAGACAATCCACATCTAAATTAGCAAAATTGAAGCGCAACCAAATCAACCTGTCACCTCTTGCCAACCTAGCACGCAGACATCCGAAGAAGGGATAGTCTACCAACTTCAAAATCTTCCAACGTTGGGTCCTCTATCTCGTCTCTTGGCATATGATGGCTTGCCTGTTGCCCACGCAGCTCCCTTGACTCGTTTCTGCTGTCGCCAGCTTCGGGTGCCACAACGACGCGGCACATATCTTCATCCATTGTTCCCAACTCGTTTGCGGCCCTCACATGAATTGTATAGATGCGTTTGTTCGTTGATCCTGTCGAGACACACGAGAAATCATCACCCTGACAGATATTTGGGGACAAGTGGATCTTCGGAGTTTGGATTCCCCGTTGGATATCTGTCGACGCTGCCACGAGAGCGGAGGTCGACTCTTCCAACTCGTTGCTGTAGACCGAAACATCAACCTTCAGACCCTTCGTGCAAGAGTTCTTTCGTGGCATCGACGCGGGAGGCGCATCGTTAGAAAAAAGCCAGAGACTGACTCATGTAAAATGCCGCACTAAAAAAAAAAACGTACCTCAAGCTTCAAGTGGACGCCAGTGTCCTCTTTCTTCCTCCTTCCTTCAGAGATGAACAACGTCTTCTTGTCTTCTGAAGTATTCGGCACATCGAAGCCGCACGAAATACGAGTAGGCATATCTGCAGCATGATCTTCTTCCAGCAATCGACGAGCAGCGGGGTCCGCGGTGGGAGCGCTGGTCCGTCCGACTTCTTGCAACAACTGCTGAACATCACTTAGAAGCGATTCAGTGTTCGTCAGTGTCGTGGCAAGACCATTTGTAACTGCAGTGAAGTTATAATCAAGACCTTGCCTAAGGTTGCTGTTGTGAGTTTCGATGTTGTTAAGAATACTGTTAGTATTGGCCACAGCCGTATTCACTCCAGCTTGAAGTGTGGCCAACTGTCCATTTGTCCTCGCTTGGACATCTGAAGCGCAGGAATACCAGTTCGAGTTAGCACAGCAAATCGATACTGAAGGGAACCTCTCCACATTGTACTGACCTGAATTCAGCGTGCCCAGGTCGATAAGGCCCTGGTGGAGGATCTTTTGATTCGTGAAGGTTTTTCTCGTGTTCTGTGCCAGGAGTGAGATAGACGAGTCAGTCACATTGCAAGACAATTGAAACGTCCTCTCTTTAGAAGGAAGCATCGTCGTACCTCATACATCTCAGCAACCTGGGAATCACTAATTGTATCGTCTTGAATGTACCTACGAGTTCGAGGTCGAAAACACTCTGGTTGGAAACGTGCTTTGACCCTGTTGTCAATTTGAATGTCAATTTGAATCTACAATCAAGCGAAAACGTACCGAAACTCAGCATAGTCGTAGATCTGCATGCGGTACCGGTACAGTCGTACCACAGGACAGGAATCGTTTTAGTCTGAAACAAGGAAAAGTTTTCCGAGACAAACCTACCCTTTTGGCAGCGGCCACAGCACCGAGGGCAATAATAAAGCCAGCGGTCTTTACCTATGATTGGAGGGAGGGGCAGGTGTGTGATTGTCAGATGACTTGAGCTGGCAGCTGATTAGGCAACCTAGCTAGCTAGCACGGCATAAATACTTACGCTTGCACAGGCCGTACCAATGAGGGGTTCTAGAAAGAAAGCAGAGCATAGAATGTGTGAGAGGCCCTTCATCCGCTACTTTGCGGCACCAAAAAAAAAGAAGGTCAGCAGCACCATGTCAACACGGCGCGTACCTGCTGGGCATTCTGTTCCGTAGAATCCCGTCATTATTTGTTGAACAGCCTCAAGGGCTTGCTGGATTCCGAACATCCATCCATTTTTTGAAGCAATGTAAGTCGGCGTCTTTCCCGCACCAACCTCGCCATTGGCTCCCCTTTCGCCCGCTACGCACAAAGAATGTGAGTTTCGACTTCATATTGTAACATAGTCCATTGGCACCAAGGAAACAAAGACGGGAGCGCTGATTGGAAACGCTCGACTCACGTTTTAGTGGCTCTTCTAATGGATCCAATGGAGCCAGAGTGTCAGAGGGAGCGATGGTATTCGGTCTCGGAGTGTTGGGCGGTTTCGTGTCGTCGTCCTGTGGTGGATTTTCAGATGCAAATTGGTCAAGGGTGTCGAAGTTCTGGTTGTGCCTGAGATATTCGATGTCCTCACAGATCTGGCAAAACGCAACCATACAAAGCGTTGTTAGGCCCCGGAATTTGTGATAATGTGAGCGGAGAAACCTCAATTTGATGTTTGTCCAAAAAAAGGTATCCCCGGTCACACATTCGACTCGGCCCAAACAAAGTTTCACGGCCGGGGTTGCACAACTCACCTCGTTTTGGTTTGGTTTTGGTTTTGGTAGTCGTCACTCGACTCTGACTCTAGCTAGCTACTACCAGTAGTAGAGTATCTTCGAGTTGAGTGGATTGAGATTTGTGAGGATTGACTAGGCATACTAGTGCTACAGCTTGCTGGCGTACAAGACGGGGCAGGAAAGATCGACTTGACCAACGCTCAGTTCACCTGCAATGCCGACATGCCAAGCCAAGTACCCAGCTCCTTCGCAATGCTCAACGATGGGCTCATAACTGTCAATCAAGCTTGGGGCCTTCACTATTGGGCGGCTGGCAGCTGCGCGGTTGCCCCTTCCGCCTGGGTCCAAATCGACTTGGGCGAAGTAACGTTGGCGGATGGTATGTTGGCCAATTCTCACTCAATGCCTGCATGTATGCATGACTTTGTCCTACGAGATTCAAAACTCACAGGGTGACTTTACACACGCTAATTTCCCTCCTCTCGATGAAGCCGTGGAAGCCTATCACCGCCCAGGTTGGTCCCACTGCCAAAAGAAGGTCGAAGTGTCAATCGACGGAAGTAGCTGGAAGCCTGTCTACGATGGTAGTTCGACCTTTCTTGTATCGGGTACAAAAATGTGGTTTGCACCAGAGAAGGCCCAATTCGTCCGCTATTGGGTTGGTCGCAGGTCAGTGTACAAAACCGGGATGCTTTCACCTGATTCAAAAGCCAAGCAAACCTCACAATATCCCCATCTTTAGTAACTATCAAAACTGGGTGGCATTGGATGATATTGTCGTATATGGCGGTGCGCTGGAACCGGTAGGTGCCTGTCCTTCACATGCAGGTGATGCTCCAGAACTTTGACGAAAGCTGACTTTGCTTTGCTTCGCTCCACAACAAACTAAAGGCGTTCATTGATGTTAGTAATGACGGGGGAATACTTGTCATGGCATTCGAAGGACAGGCAAGTTGTGCATCTATTCGTTTGTTGTCCAGGCATAGTTGTGGTTTCGTTAGAACTCAATAATATGCTGCAAATCCTGTTAGGCTTGGCTGACGTCCGGCAAGGCGGGAGACGGGATCTGGGTGCCTATGACCAATGGCATCACCAACCGAGTGACTGATGTCGCCGTATCCGACAAGGAACACAGAGACTACCCGGAGGAATCTCTGGCGACGATTTACGGACTCTACTCGGATGCTTGCCAGGGGCTGCAATCGGCAGTTGCTTACGCCCGTCCCTCGAGACCAGCAATGGCTCGCTGGTTTTCTCAAGTGAACCAGGATCTTTGCTTGACCCAAGTCGTTGTGAGTGGCGACGGGTCGCTGTTTTATGATACCAATGAAGCGGGACATATGTGGTACAAACGAGCCTCGGATGCATCTTGGAGCTCGAGAGGCGGTCGACCAGTTGACATGGCCCTGAATGCCGATGGAACAGCTCTGGTAGTAGCCGAAGCGGGAGTAGGTGTCATTTGGGCATACAATCTCCACCAGGACCCGGCGGGAATGGCTAATGCTCCGTACACGAAGTTTGGAAAGAGCCCCACCGGTACAAACTTTCGCTCGGTTTCTCTGGGCGGCCTTCACGAGTTGTGGGCCGTCGACGACAACTTGGACATTTGGCACACTTGGATTGTCAATCCTGCGGATGGCAGCAAACTGAGCCACAGGGGTTGGCAGCAATTCGATGGCAAGATGATGTCGATCACGGCCTCCTCTACGGGAATGGTTTATGGCGTGTCCGAAGATGGCAGGGGTGTCCTTCGATGCTTCGGCCGTGATCCCGTGAACTATGATTTGCGTTGCGACTATGTGATGAATCCCCTGGATCGGGCTACAGTCTAAGCGAGATCAACAGAGCTTACTGAACGCCGAAGAACGTGTAAGAGTAGATGGTTAATTTCTAGTAAAGCGTTGCAAACTTTTTGGATACGGTACGGTTGTGGCGAACGCTAGAGAATTGAAAGACTTGCTGATCTTATGGCCGCGAACCTGTGAACGATGTGCAACTATGCGATGAATCCACTGGATCAGGTAAGTTTTCCTTAGCGAGATCAACAGGGATGCTGCGAAAAAAGAACGAATAAGAGATAGATGTAAATTTTCTAGTAAAGTCTTACAGCGGAATACCGCTACCGTCGTAGCAAACTAATGGAGGATGAAGCTAGAGAAGTGAAAGACTTGCTGATCTTATGGAAGTCACAATGAGAATGTTGAATCAAATCGGAATGAATAACAGACGACCCGCGTTTATTGAATTCAGGACCACTGTTGTTGCGATTGCGCAGAAGTCGGAGATGTGTGAACTGATTTGAGTGGTCGATGTCGATCGAACGAGTAGACGGTGCACTCGGACGCGGACGCAAAGGAGAACATGTCATCGTCGGGTTCCATACTTGTACGACAGACGGCCGCAACAGCCTGGATGGCATGAGCCGACAAGGAGAGCGATGAGACGGATTGCTCCATTTGATTCTGTCGTACTTTGACCGAGTCTCTCGAATACAAGGACATCATGTCGTCTGTTTCCGTCGTGACACTGCCGTTAGTGTTGTTGTTGTTGTTATGACCGCTGTTGCCACTGCCGAGGTAGTAGGGATTGCTGTGAAAGCTATATTGTCGAACGCCGTTGTTGGTGATCTGGCTGGTGGGTGTCGCAATGGAGAGCGATTCCATGGAGAGAATGGAGAGGGTCGAGTCATGATTGGTGTTGTGTCCACTGTCGTCCGCGCCATTGTCATCCGTGCCACATCCCAGTGACCGCATCGACCCCCAGGACTGCATGGAACCCATGGAACTCGCTGAATCGGTTCGTTCCAAATTGATGCGTCGAAATTGATTGCTCAACGACGACGACGAAGCGTTGCTGATAGTCGTTCCTCCGGCTGATTGGCTGCTGCGGGACGCTTGGTCCGCGACAAAGAAGCGTCGAGTCGAATTACTCCGTTGCCGCACTCGATTCTCGGGCAGCGATCGCATGTTGCGCGTCGATCCAGGACTCTCCATCATCAGCATGGCCGAACGACGTCGATCGGGCGGCAACTCTCGAAAGTTGCGGGTCGATCCACCCCGTTCCAGGATGGGCAGCGTCCGCGCCATGACGTTGCGGGCACTGCGGCTGCGGTTCATGGCGGCGCTGTTCATTCTATTATTGTTGTTGTTGCTGATAGCGTTGTTACTAGTCGGGTTGTTGGCGGAAGCAGAGGCGGCGGCGGCGGCTGTGGTATTGCTAGTGTGATGTGTTGTATGATCAAATCGTACGCTAGTAGCAGAGTGAATGGATGCCAGCATCTCTTCTACAGCGTCAATGGAAGCATCTATGTCGTTGCTGGTAAAGGCGAAGAGACGGAGCGATAGAAGACGACTCCAATTCAAAGACCAGACTTCGGAACTGGCTGTTGTTGTTGCTCGGATGCTTTTGGCTGTTTTTTGAGGGTGGCAAAAACAAGCGGTACCGCTAAAAAGACATACTTGGTTCCTGGAGTCCTGTCGGTTAAATAGCTAACAGCACAAGGAGATAACAAAGGAGATAATTAGTATCCTGAAACTTGTTTAACATTTATACCTAGTCATGGTTTTCAAGGACCATAAGTCTTTGGTAGTAGCCAAGAATGCGGGAAACAATAGGGTTAGTGTGCGTCTATCTGTGCGTTTGAGTCCTTAGTATCGCAACCCACTCTATTATTGGGTCGAAGCAACCATGCATAATCCCATTTCGCCTGCACGCAACCTTGCACATCGCGTGTCCACTGCACACATGCTTGGACGGGACCAAGCCACTCTCAACCACCGGAAAGCGTAGAGATGCTGTAGAAGCCGGCAGGAATATGGACCCACATCGGTTCAAAATGAAGGATTTGCCGTCTAAGGCCGGTCTCTACCGGAGCGACTAAGGGACCGACTAAAGGAACCTTTAGGTGGTTGTTTAGTTCAAGATTTAGTCATTATCCTTTAGTAGAGTGATCTGCGCTTTACGACCGACCGTTTCGCGCAATATTCTCTTCAGAGCTGGATATGGAATTGACAGTGTTAAGTAGGAGAATCCATAGAACACATGTTGCTGAGTAGACCAAAAAATTCTCAGCTTCATAGTGTACTTAATGGGGGAGTTATGGACGGTTGAAGAAATCGACACACCTCCAGGTCAATTCTTTTTACCACAATTTAAGACCGAATGACGTCACACATAGCCTCTGGTACTGAGTCTACGTAGGATCTACTGTAGCGGTACGTGGTCTATCGAGTGAAAACTGTGGGCACCTCTGGGGGCACACCTCAGTCTTGAAGCACATGCATAAGCACCTCTGTACCGGTACCTCTCTTCGTCCTGATGTGTGCTTGGTACCTCTATCCTTTCGAAGCCCTCTGTCTAGTTAGTAGCTCTATCGACACTCCTTCCTCTGTCGACACTCCTTCCTCTATCGACATCCTTTTACTCCTTCCTCTATCGACACTCCTTCCTCTATGCATACATGTACTATTCACACAGCCAACACTGGACAAGAGTGGATGCCTGATAGTGAGGAAACACAAGCTGCTCTAGCTAGCTAGCATAGCCAGCGAGCTGCCGGTAGCTACATAGTAGAGTACTAGTAGTACGGTACGCTAGCTAATAGGTCTTAGGTCTCAGGTAGTATAGATATTACTGTACAATCCCAAGAATATTACCCGGGCCTTAATGCACTGCAGGTCTTAAAGCCCAGATCACTCTAATGGTGGTGTCTACCAGCAGATGACTAAATCTTGGACTAAACAATTTAGTCAGTTCTTTAGTCATTTGGACCTGTCTACCCAGCACTAAACAAATGACTAAACGGAGCACTAGTGGACTTAAAGGACTCAAACAAGATTTAAAAAAGTGATCACTTGGTGGGCTACCAATATTCTATCAGCATGGTGGATTATAAGGACTCAATCAAAGACTTAAAAGAAGTGATTACTTTTTTGAGATAACAAGACTCAAAACACACCATTGCGATGCACCTCTACTATCATTCAATCGTTCGATCGTTTGCATTTGATCGTTCGCACCTCTCCTCTATTGGCACTGATTCGATGGCCTAATAGTGAGGCTAGGAGTGTCGAATTTGTTATCCAACTCAGTGGCATGCAGTTGTATCGGCCGATACTTCTCTTCGATCGTTCGATCGTTTGCACCTCTACTACTCCTCTTCGATCGTTCGATCGTTTGCACCTCTACCGGTACTATCGGCCGATACTCCTCTTCGATCGTTCGATCGCACCTCTACTCTATCAGCTCTGTCGCGATGCTCTGATAGTGAGGCTGTGCAATGAGGCTGCTGTTCTTTTTTTAAAGTGCTGTTCTTTTTTTAAAGAGTTCTTAAACAAGCTTTAGTCCTTACGCTCGCTCACGGACTAATCAGCCTCCGATTAGTCGGTGAATGAACATTTCGACTAAAGCCTTTAGTCTGTATGACCTTTATTCCCTATGGTAGACACCACCCCCAGAGACTAAACTATTGACTAAACTATGAAATATGGCTTAGTCGCTACTTTAGTCGCTCCGGTAGAGACCGGCCTAAGGTCTGGCTGTAGTTGGGCAAATTCTGGTCGATTTCATCAAAAAATCGTGTTTACCTGGCCCAAAGGCGAAATTTAAAGCAAAAAAAGCTGAAATGGCGAAATTTAAGGCAAAACAAAGCTGGATCTTGGGGTAGCGATGGCCAGACCTTAACCGGATCTTGAACCGATGTGGACCAACTACCGGAATAATTTAGGATTAAAGTTCATTGTTATTTGTTAGTTTCCGGTGGTTGATCTTTTCCGGTGGTTCATCCCAGAGTAGCAAGTAGCAAGTAGCAAGTAGCAAGTAGCAAGCAGCAAGTAGCAAGCAGCAAGTACCGGTACAGTAATAGAACCTCCGGTCTGGTAGCATCTGAGGTGCTACTGGTGCTACTGGAGAAAATATGAGGTGGAAGTAATCTTCCATCTTGGCTCGCTTCATGGAGAGGCAGACTTGCAGTCATGCTTCATCGACCCACACACCCTGGGGTTCACGCTTCTTTTCCACCAGGTGATTTCTTCTTCCACCAGGTAGGTATTTTCTTCATTCCGCATGGCGTGCTTACGTTTATTAGGGGGCTCATGAAAACGAGAGGATCTTCTCTCCTACGACTGGATTTCACGAATCCATCTTCCACGCGGTGGACGACTCTCACCCTATCAGCTTTTCGTTTTCCACAGAATGATCCACGAATGAACAATGCATGAGCAATGTTCCTATTGGATCGTATCTTTTGCACCTCTCGTTTGGATCTTACGTACCCAGTGCATGCAAATCTCTACGCGTGTATGCACTGGTACTCCCTCTACGAAGGACCCATCGACTTGAAGAGAGTCTATGACCCCCACCAGATCCCGTAGACTGATCGATTTTCTGGTACTCAGAAATCCTCTACATGCCTCGCGCGTGGATCTGGTACATAATCGCTGACGTGTCTGACACCAGAAAAAAAACAACGGCTGCGGCAAAAAGAACAACAAAATAAAAGAAACAAGCTGACAATGGCAGATAATGGCAACAGTTGCTATGTATGTAGATTGTTAAGATTGACATAGAACACCATACAGTTGTAACTTTCCACCATGCATGCGCAGTTATAAGCAATTGGAAGTGTAGCATAGATGCCATGGTCAGAGAGAAAGCTCAATTTTTCTTGCCAAATGGTACACACTAGTAAAGGTCCTAGCAATGTTGCATTTCCTCTGCCTCTGGGTTTCCTTCTTATTGATGGCTCCCTTCTTGATGGCTTCTTCATCTAAGAAGCACATTTTTAGGTAGTTGTTGAATCGTCATGCATGGATGTTCCCATACTTAACCTTTTGGTTGAGAATCCGCAACCAAATTGCTTCCAGATTTGAGCCATTTCTTGTAATCTGGACTGCAGGTCCTCTATTGGTACCTTTAGTGGTTCTAGATTGACAACTTGCCTATCTCTCAATATAGAACTATCATTTTTGGAGTTCCAGTTTGGCCCCTGCTACCCTCATTTCCACAACCAAAGCCTCCAGGTCTGGAACCAAAGTAAGTTCCAAATCCACGAGGAAAAGGTTCCCAGAACACTGTGGCGCCAAGTTGGATGTTGGATGTGTGTTCTAGAGAGGAGGAGAAGCCACTATTGGATGGTTGTTCTTTGTTCTGCAAGAGGAGAAGCTTCGATTGGTGAGCTGGTTAAGCCCCGTTCTGGATGTGGGGATGCTGTTGTTCCGCAAGGTTGACCTGGATTTATAAGGAGGGCAAGCTGTTTTGGGAAGTGTCATTGGAGAGTACTGCTTTTCCACAGTAAAGGATTCAAACAGACTTCACGGAACAGCCTTCCGGCTGCCTCTTCTTCGAAAGGAGTCACCTCCTCATGCACTCAATCGATCAACCACAACAACAGCAACGCAATGGTGGAGGAGCGGCCGAATACTACTACTATTACTATTACGAGTAAGTCTATTATCAAGTGTGTTATTATTGAAGGCGCAGCACTGACTTCTCTCCCTCATTGAATTTCTATGGTAAGCAGGAGGTAAGTACCAGCTTGGCCGACAACAGTGGTAGGAGGAGGAGGTGGTCTTTATCCAATCGGCCGATCGATCGAATCGATCGCAATGAGGTATGCATACGGTATTATCAAGAGTGTTTGTTGAAGGTACAGCACTGACTTCTCTCCCTCATTGGATTTCTATGGTATTCAGGAGAGAAATACCAGCTTGGCCGTCAACAGGTGAGTTGTTTTAATTATATGAATCGATCGGTTGCACCTCTATTATCTCTACTATCAAGCCTCACTCAAGCCGTTCTTCTCCGGTGCAGATTGAAAGCCATCCTCATTGAATCCTATGGACCATGGGATGGCAGTCAGTTCTCGGCCCATGACGGCCAAGTTGGTGCAGTTTGAAAACAAGAGTAAGTCCCTGGTTTTCTTCAGTGGCAGAATAGAAGAGAAAACCATATCTATTTCTTACTTTCTGTTCTCTTACTGCTGACGGCCGAGGAAATCCATTGTGAGTCCTTTTCGAACGATCGCTCCGGATAACAAGAGGAGAGGCTACCGCTACGGAGCAGACCGTTAACTCCAGTCCTATCATCAGCATGAACGGAGGATCGTCGTCGAGTCATTGAATGGCAACAAGAGGAGGCTACACGACGACAACTCGAGCACACAAGAGAGTGGATCCTCCGATTCATCCCTCTTTTGTTATTTTCTAGTGTTTTGTGGTGATTCCTGTGTCGGTACCCATTTTCCTGTATGAAAGTCCGGACTTGTGAATTTGCGCTAAGTCCGACGACACGGTGTTGGTGGATTTGGCTAAGTCCATGAGGACTTGGTGTTGGTGGAGGAGTACATCTTACCAATCGAGATAGCAAGTAATGAAATAGATAGCAAGTTTATGAATTGGCAACCAAAGAAACCATTAGGAACCTAGCTTTTAGACCTAGACCTGCTTCCCAATCTGCATCTGAGAGAGGTTCCCAATCCACAACCATGTGGAGGTTGCCAAAATGCACCTTGCCTTGCCTAATTGGAACCTAG